CGGGGCTGCCTTGCAGGCCTGCCTTCCAGCTTTGCTCGGGGGGACCAGAAACGGGGGCGGAGCGCGGGGGAGGCAGGCGGAGGCCATGGGCAGCGAAGCGGGCGCGCCAAAGGGCACCAAAGGGCGCCAGTTCCGGAACTGCTGGGACTGGGCTGGAGGAGCGCGGAGTTGGGGCGGCACGGCTGGTGCCAGCCCACGAACGACGCGGCGCGGGCGAGTGGGGGGAGGCGGCTGCGGGGAAGGCTGGGCTGCGGCGGGAGCCTGTGAGGACAGCCTGCGGAGTGCCCGGGCGGAACACGTGGGTCTGAGGGTCGCTAGGGAGTCCCTGCGTGGCTGCCCGTGTCGGCGATCCAGATGCCTGGGCTGGCCTCGGGGTCCCAGCTCTGGCCCGGCGAGCCGAAGGTCCGGGGGGCGGGGCCGGGGCGGGGCCTGCGGTGAGCTCGGCTCGACGGGTGCCCGGAAGACGGGGACGGGGCGGGGCGGGGCCTGCGGTGAGCTCGGCTCGGCGGGTGCCCAGGAGGCGGGGCCGGGGCGGGGCCTGCGGTGAGCTCGGCTCGACGGGTGCCCAGGAGGCGGGGCCGGGGCGCGGCCGGGGCGGGGCCTGCGGTGAACTGGCGCTGGGCGGGCCGTTCCGGGGGCGGGACTGGGCTGGGCCTGCGGTGAGCGTCCAGCGATGCGGCGCGGGTGCTGCGGGACGCACAGACACGCGTACAGTTAGACCGAGGCAGACACCTACCGGCGAGCGGCCGCGGGTGACTCCCAGGCGCGGCGGTACCTCAAGGTGGTGAAGGTCACAGGTGAGGTCACCCTGAGAGTCCCGCTCGCGCCAAGAGCCCTCCCCTCCACCCGGGACCGCAGTGTTTGGGGCGGGGCTCTCCGAGAGGGGGCGGGAAGCTCGCAGCCGCAGGCCTGGCCTCACCCAGGCGTTTGGCTTCCTAGGGTTGGGCTGGGCAAATGTGTCCTGAGAGACGGATTTGTCGTTCTCAGGAAGGCGTATGTTTAATTTAGCTCATCCCTGCTGGGGAGCTTCTGCAGTGGCCGAGGACTCAGACAACCCTAACCAGGGCTCTGGAGGTTTTCCTGGAAGAGGGGACCCCAAATAGGGACACCCCAGAGCAGAGGGGAGGGGAACAGCGAGAAGAGACCCAGCCCTTGGGCCCAGTTCTGCCGTGGCCAGCCATCCGGCCCCCAGGGCCCTGCGTGGGATGAGGTTGCAGACCACCTCCCAGAGGACCTCTGTACCAACCATCCCCTGGTAAAATCCTTGTTTAGGCCTGGTATTTAAGGTCCCTCTACCCACCCCCACTCCTCTAGCACTGCCCCTCATCGTCCCCCCATCTCTCCTCCATCCAGCGCTACAGGCTGTTTTGAGCTTTTGCAGGCGCTGGTCTCTGATTGAAATGTCCCGATCTCTTCTCCCTTCTTGTCCCCTCCCAAGTGTCTCCTCCTCCAGGAAGCCTTCCCTGACACCCACTGAGTTGGGTGGCTCCTCTGCCCACTGTCATCCCTGCCCAGGCCCCCCATGGGTCCTTCAGGCCCAGCACTGACCACCTGTCTTTGCCACCTGCTGTGCAGGGCTGCAGCACTCCCAGTAGACCAGGAGCTCCAGGAGGCACGGCCAGCCCCACGTCCTCTGTGCACCACCCTGAGTTGGATCCTCTGTGCGCCACCCCTGAGTTGGATCCAGGGCTAGCTGCTGTTCTCCTCCCCACCCTCACACTGCCCTCCTGCCTGCAGCCATGACGCCCCTGCTCACCCTGTTCCTGGTGGTCCTCATGGGCTTACCTCTGGGTAAGATGGACAAAGGACAGAGGGATGGACAGACCCACGTTGAGGGAAGGTGGGCTGAAAGCAGGGAAGGAGACCAGAATTCCCAGCGACCACCCCTCTTTCTAGCCCCCTGCCCTGGGGAAGGTGATGGGCTGGGGACCTGATGGGCTGGAGGAGGGGCCTCTCATGTTCTGCGACCCCCGTTCCCTTCCCGCCCATCTGCCAGCCCCAGTCCAGGCCTTGGACTGCCATGTGTGTGCCTACAACGGAGACAACTGCTTCAACCCCATGCGCTGCCCGGCTATGGTTGCCTACTGCATGACTACGCGCACCTGTGAGTCTGGGGGCCCTGCGTGGCCCTGCCTGGGGAGGATGAGGGGGAGGTTCTGCCCTGCCCCTGAGCATGTGGAGGTGCTGAGGAAGGAGGCTCTCCTGTCCCCGGATGCTCTCTGGGAGCTCTAAGCTGAGGGGCCCTGCCCTGATGGCCTTGGATGCTGGTGTGGGGCTGGCTGGGCCCCCTGCCCCTCTTAGCGGAGCTGGCTCACTGCCCTGCCCCTCTGCAGACTACACCCCCACCAGGATGAAGGTCAGTAAGTCCTGCGTGCCCAGCTGCTTCGAGACTGTGTACGATGGCTACTCCAAGCACGCGTCCACCACCTCCTGTTGCCAGTATGACCTCTGCAACGGCGCCGGCCTTGCCATCCCGGCCACCCTCGCCCTGGCCCCCGTCCTCCTGGCCACCCTCTGGGGTCTGCTCTAAAGCCCCTGAGGCAGACCCACTCAAGAACAAAGCTCTCGAGACACGCTGCTGCACCCTGGCACCCAGTTCACCCTGCCTCACTCTCCACCCTCCCTGCGACCTCCTCAGCTGTGCCCAGGGCTGGGACTGTGGGCAAGAAGACACCTGATCCCCCCCAACCACCACGCGACCTCACTTCGAGGCCTTGACCTTCCGATGCTGTGTGGGATCCAAAAGGGCTGGGGGCACTGGCACAGTGCTGTTTATGGGGAGGGGCCCAGTCAGGAAGGGAGCGCTGATCAGATGGGAGCTGTGGCCAAGTCCACCTTCTGGGAAGCCCTAGGAGAGGCCCCTGCCTCAGCCTGCCCCGGGTGTGCTGGGGCACGGGGAAACGAGGACCTCCCCCAGGTGGGGTGGTTGGGGGAACTCTTAGGAGGAAAGGCTTTTCCAGGCCTAGGAAGGCTGTCACACTTCCTACTGAGGCCAGGAGCTGCCAGGGCTGGTGCGGGATCAGGGCTGTGGGAGGAAGGCCTTCGGCACTGGCCCCTGTGCTAGGAAGGCTGCCAGGCCTGCATTGGAGCCACCCCCTGCAAGGGAGGGGTGGCCATGCCTCAGCAGGCCCCAGTGCCCCCGAAGCTGTAGAAGCTTTTCCGGGTCCAGCAAAGGGTCTGTGTCCTCTCAGTCAAACTCCTTGACATTTCCCACCCCCTCATGGGGAGGGCGCTGGGCCTGAGGCTGGCAGGACCTAGGACCTTGCTATATTTCGTGGGTCCTGGTTGCTGACCTGGCCAGCGCTATTCCGGGCAGGGAGGGAAAGGGGCAGGGCAGGTGGCCCGCTGAGGCCTGGTCCCCAACCACAGCGGGACCTGGCCGAGCAAGGCAAAGGACACGGGATTGGGGGATGCGCCCACAGGCTGGAAGTTGGGAGCAGCCTGGGGCAGTGCGGGGGCAGGGGTGGGGAGGGCGAGGGCTGGAGGATGAGACCCAGCCCCTCCCCACCAGCAGGATGCACACAGTGAGTGGGTGCCTCCATCACCTTCCACCTGGGACTGCGTCCATGGGGAGGACAGGGTGGAAGCTCCAGGTGGGTATGAGGACTCCCAGGGACCCCACCCCAGGCCTGTGAAGCAGGGTTCAGCCCAACACCCACCAATTCGTCCCTGATACAGGTAGCCCTGGGAGCATCTGCCCCCGCTGCAAATGGAGCCACTGGGGGCATGAGACCTTTTGGTGCCAGCAGTCACGCTGCACCTGAGGCCCCCACCTGACCAGTGCTCCCAGCTCTGATGTCCTTGGAGGAGCCCTTCAAGCCATCCTGCATGGGCAGGATGGTGACACGTCCATGCGGTGGGACTGCCCTGGCCCCAAAGTGTGGCCCTGGTCAGGGGAGCCCCTGCTGGGAACTGCATCTCCAGAGCTTTGATGCAGGACCCCTGGGGGCTCGGGGAGTGAGAGGCTCCACCCCAGGGTCTCCTTGCAGTGAGTCTATGTGCAGGCCTGCCTTCTGCTCCTGGGGCTGGGGTTGATGGTCCAGCCTCAGTCTCCTGAGGACAGGAGGGGTCAGAATCTTGCTTAGGGCACACCCAGCTCCTGTTGGAGAAGGGAAGTGCTGGTCTCCTGCCAAGGGGCCTTGGGTGGGAATGGGCCCGGAGTGGGAGGAACGTGACTCCCCAGAGGGAAGATAGGCATCATACTGGGCCAACAGCTGGGAAGGAGTTGCTGCAGCACAGAGTGGGCCTGGACTCCCCTCGCCCCTACCCCCAGTGGTTGTGGCTGTAGCACTGAGCCTGGAGAGGGGGCCCGGCCCGGGGTGGCTGGGAGGCTGCCAGGTGCGTCCCAGAGCTCCCAAGGGCCCCCACCTGCAAGTGCCAGCCTCAGAGCAGTGCCCAGATGAGGCCCTCTCAGCTGCAGCCAGCGAGGCCCTGGGATGCTCCCTGGGAGGGAGGCGGCTTTGGGCTCCTAAGTCTGTGGGAGAGGCTGGGAGCAGTCACTGCGCGCCTTGTGCAAGCCCATTGTCGGTCGGGTGGTTTCCTCAGCTGGGCTGGGAGGGGCTCCAGGATCAGGTCCTCCCTGTCTTGCTTCTCAGTGGGGTGATGGGGAGGAGACCTGGCCACCCGGCGCTCAGGGGCAGCTGAGACAAGGACCTGCTGGAGCTGGAAGTGCCGTGGTGTTGAGGGGTGGGGTGGGCAGCTTCTCACGCCTGCCTCCTGCCTCCACCTGTCTGCCATTCCCCCACCCTGACTTGTCCCAGCCCAATGCTGACAGCACTGCCCCCAGCCCCATACATGGTTCTGCCTGGCTGGCCTGCCCTTGGTACCTGGCATAGAACACACAGAAGGCACTCGGCTAATGCTGGCCAGGCCCACTCATGGGGAGTGCACGGCTGTGCAGCACCAGGGAACCGGGACAGCAGCGCCGGCAGAAATCACAGCGGTAAACTCGTCCCGGTTGTAAGCATCAAGGTGGCAACGGACATGGGTCCCCCCACTGCACTGTGGCCCTGAGCACTGTATAGCAGCCCTGCAATGGGAGCCATTATCTTGTCCCTTTGACAGAGGAGGAAACTAAGGCACAGGGAGGTGAAGTAGCTGCCCCCAGTAGTGCCTCCTCGCTTACTCACCACCCCCTGTACCACAGTGCAGCCGCTTCTCCCACCAGCTGGGGTTCCTTGGGCCCCCAAGCCTGGGAAGGGGGAGGTGAGTTTACAAAGTGGAGAACTTAAAAGGAGAAAAGCGGAACCAGAGGTTTGAGAAGCCCTGAGTGGTAGAGTAAGGCCTCCAGCGCTGCCTCTGGGTGCAGGGCAGAGTGGCACAGTGAAGGGGGAGAGGCACGGGGCACCGTGGGGGCCCAATTCCTACTTTGGGGATCTCTCTGACAGAGCCGAGGGTCCCCTTCGTGGGGGTAGATGCCCAGGGCTAGCCGTTCCCACTGTCTGTGTGGACCTGAGTCCTGGACATTCCCGAGTGACTCAGGAGCGGCTGCTTGGGCGGGCTCGGGCACCCCAGGATGTTATACATTCTGGGAACTGGACAGGAGCGGCTGCTTGGGCGGGCTCGGGCACCCCAGGATGTTATACATTCTGGGAACTGGACAGGAGCGGCTGCTTGGGCGGGCTCGGGCACCCCAGGATGTTATACATTCTGGGAACTGGACAGGAGCGGCTGCTTGGGCGGGCTCTGGCATCCTAGGAACATTCTGGGAACTGGAATCAGTCACTAAAGAAATTGTAGCTGTAGGTGGTGACCCTGGGGTGGGACCTGGGGACATGGCTGGGTCAGCATGGGGACACCTGGCTCCAGCAGGGGCTCTGGTCTGTCCTGGGGTCTTTGGGGCCAGGGCTGCGGCCCTGGGCAGGCTTCCTCCAGGCAGAGGTCCTGGGGAAGTGGGGGAGCCAGGCCGGCTGCCGCCTCCCTCCCTGTGTAGCCTCTAATTTGTCATCTCCCATGAAGGCGATTTGGTTCATAATTCTGAAACTCTGAAGAAAGTCGAAAGAAGCAGAGAGGCCCTCGGTGGATACGCCGAGCTTTTCTGCCGGTGCTTTGTCCCACTACTCTGGGTGGCCTGTGCTCCTCTTCGAGCCTCAGTTCGCGGGGAGGGCCTGAATCTGCCAGCTCCTCTCAGGATCTCCTTCTCTCTGGGCCCTCCCCAGCCTTAAGGAGCCTCCCAGACAGAAGGGTGGACAGAGCCACCTGGGCAGCCCAAGAGACACGCGGGAGTCCTCCTGTGGACAGCCCTGCCAGCTTCCGCCCAGCCCCAAGCTTCATTTGCATCTTGAGGAGTAAGGGGTGGTGAAATGGGAATGCTGGTCTGACTCAGCTGGTCGTGGGCATAAGTGCCGGCTGGATGGATGGCATCTCTTCCTCCTGTCTTATGTCCTGGGGTCCAGGTGCTTCCCAGGGCCATGCCCCTGCTGCTATTGCTTGCCCTAACCCTCACCCTAACCAGGACATAGACTTCCACCCGCAGGCCACTCTCTCCCTGGCCCACCATGTACCCAGCACCCAGGAGAGCTCCAGTGTTGTCTCACCAAGCCATGAATAAATCAACAGATTCACGTTGTCTGTGCTTCTCTCCAGCCCCACTGCCTTGGCCTGAGCTCAGGCCTCGCCTTTCCAGCCTGGCTGGGCTGGCACTCCAGGCTCCATGCAACCACACTCCCATCTACCCTACCTGGTCCAGGCCCTGGGCTTTTCTTGCCTCCAGGCCTGACCTGTCCTTGGAGCCAGGCACAGGGAGGGAGACAGGCAGGGCTCCTGGGGCTTGCTGAGAATTGCCCCCAGTTCCGTGGGAGAGAGGCCAGCACCCCCGAGGGGCAGACAAGCCCCTGGGGAAGGCTAGGGGTGCAGAGTAAGGGAGGCGAGAACCCCCCAGGACCCCATCCCACCATCTCTGATTTCTCAGGCTACCTGGTTCCTGACCCCAGCTTCTCGACTGCCCCAGGAAGGAGGACCTGCATCTGCCAGCCCCTCTCTCAGGATCTCCCTTCTCCTGGGCCCACCTCCCAGCCATAAGGAGCCCCCTAGACAGAGGGGTGGACAGAAGCCATGTGGGCAGCCCAAGAGACACACAGGGGTCCCCGGGTTGGCAGGGCTAACTGGTTACGGACAGGTCCTTTGGGGCCCCAGCCCCTCACCAGCCTCTGGAGGAACAGCCGATGGCTCCCGCTCTCCAGGGTGTCCCTCCTGGGCTCTTACCTTATCCTTGGGGCCCCTTTTAGTACCAAGGGCCTTTCTGTCCCCCGACTCCTGTGCACAGATCCTGGAGCATCAGTCACAGCATGACAATGGCCGTGGTTCCTTGTTCAAATGACAGACGACGGAGAGGCGGCTCACAGCCACGCTCCCTCTGCGCTCTCCCAGCCCTGGGGGGGTCAGGATGGGAAAGTTCTGACTTCTTTGGAGGAGGTCTTGTCATTGAACTCACTCTAGGGTGGGAGTACGGGTGAAGACCTCTGGCTTACACCCAGCCCTGAGCTTCATGTGCATTTTGAGGTGTAAGGGGTGGGCTGGGTGCTGGTGCCTGAGGCCCTCCCTCCTTCCCACCAGACCTTCCTTCCCAGCTGCTGAGGGAGACCGGCCTATGGCCGTCGCCTGCCTGGTGCCAGGCCTTCCTTCCCAGCTGCTGAGGGAGAGTGGCCTGTGGCCGTCGCCTGCCTGTTGCCAGGCCATTTTATGGGATCCTCAGTCCTGTCAACCAGGGCTGTCCTGCTTTACCGACAAGAAGAGATCGCTCATGAGATTACACAGGCCCGCCTGGAGGCCTAACCAGCAAGCTTTGGGGCCAGGTTGGCCCCTATCGCCTGGACCCCAGCCCGGCTCCTTGGCTGAGCCCAGCTGCCCGGTGACTCAGACCCACAGAGTCTGCTGAGCGGGCAAGGGCCAGGGCGGGGTGCCAGCAGGTATAAGGCAGCCGGCCAGGGTGCTGACAGCCCGACCTCACCAGGAGAACATGCAGTTCCACACTGGGCTCCTGCTGGCCGCCGTCCTGAGCCTACAGTTGGGTGAGTCCAGGGGCTGGGGCCACCTCCTGCTCAGGGCCCCCATCGCTCTAGCCCAACCGCTGTCCCTCCAGCCCTGGGCTGTGACTGCCCACCTCAGGAGAACCCATTCCTGTCCCCCACTATCTGCCAGGTGCAGCTTTTCCTCCGAAAGCCTCCTGCGATCCTGCAGGCCCATCCAGCTCAGCCCCAGCCCACACACTGACCCCCACACTGACCCCCCAACTTCTCAGGGTGCACAGCCCTTGGCTCAAACCCCCTCTTCCTCTCCCCAACCCCCAGACCTCTCCAGTCCATAGTGAGGCTCCTCACACACGCACCTTTGTGTGCGCGCATACACACACTCTGAATTTGCGCCCCCCAGCCCTCTTGGGCCTGGCCTCCCGACTGGCTTGTCTCCTGAGGCCACCCTCCCCGGACTCCCTCCTCCCTCTTGCCTGGGAAAACCAAGTCCCTCTGCTCTCCCATCCCCAGTCCCTGCTCCCGGGTCCTCTCCTCTGCTCCCTGCTTCCCTGGGTGATTTTACCCACTGCCCATCCCCCAATCCTCACCCCCCCACAGTGCCCACGTCTGCTACAGCTGGCCCTGTCCCCCCAGCTTCAGGCCCCTTGGCCCAGGGCCTTCCTGAGGGCTCCAAGGGTATGACTCCTCTAGCACAGCCATGCACAGCTGGCCTTGGCATCCCCCAGCAGAGCCCAAGCATCTTCTCTTGGCAGGGCATCTCCACTCCCATCCCGAGACCTGAACAAAACCAACTGGCCCCTTGATCTGCCGGCCGCCCCCACCTCCAAGCCCAAGCAGCCCAGCCCCCCAGGGGCCAAGCCTCTGCGTCCCTGGCTGTGGGTTGGATGACCTGGGTATCCCCTGCCTCCCAGGCCCTGAATGAGCAGGTGGTGGAGCATCCGTGAGTCCCTGGCGCTGGCTCAGGTGTCTCTTACACCCCTCCAGCCTCCATCCCCAGGGGCACCCTCCTGGCCTGTAAGCGGCTGAGCCGCTGACCCTGAGGACTGCCCCAGGGTCATGAGGGCAGACCAGCTCTGTGATGAAGGTCTGAGACACACAGGGGCTTGGGAGGGTAGGCATGTGTAGGGGGCAGGCAGGAGCTGGTTCCATGCCACCCTTGGGCACCCATATCCTCACCTCTTCCTTCTGGTGCCCCAGCCTCCTGCCCATCTTCCCTGCTACCCCCTACCCCAGGCAGCTGTGACAGCCAAGGGGAGCTTCAAGTCACTTTGGTGGGAAGGGGCAGAGAGGGGCTTGGAGGCAGCTGCCACCACCTTTCTTTTTTGAAGGTGGGGTCTCAGCTTGCTCTCCGGGGCTGGTAGAGGGGCCAAAGCTGATGGTAGGGGCCTGCCCTGACCGGAACTTCCCGTCTGTGTCACCTTCTCTGTGGTGTCTCGATGGAGGATTCCACCCACAGAGCCTAGGGGTGACCAGAGGACTCTGGCCAGTGGCAGGGGCCTGGTGTGCACTGAGGTCTGAGGTCAGCTCCGTGCTGGTGCGTGCAGAGCCATGCTGTCAGGAACCCGGGCTTGGAGCTGGCGCTGACCGGGGCTGACTCCAGCCCTTCTCCACCTTTGGCAACAGTGAGGCAGGGGCAGCCCAGCAGACACGGGATAAGGCAGGCATGGCTTCCAGTGTCCTGAGGTTGGGCTGCCTGGGGCACAGCTCAAGAGGAAGCCAGGGCCTGTGCCTGGTGCCTGTGACAGAGCAGCCCTCACATCCTTATGGTCACACCATTGGCCCTGTCACCCTGCAGGCTCCTATGCAGAGAGAGCAGACCGGGGGCCAGCAGGTGTTAGGGACTCTGTTTACCCAGTCTTGGGTGTGTGAACCTAGGGTGAGGACAGGGAGGGAGGGAGTTTGAGGCTGAGAAATGGACGGAGGTGGTCAGGAAGGAGAGGACAGAGTCAGGGATGAAGAGGGGCAGAGACCAGGCAGGGAAGCCGTTGGGGAGTGCCCAGGAGGGCTAGTGGGCCTTGGGAGTGGAGCAGTGCCCAAAGCAGAGAGCAGGACTGCTGGGCAGAGACACAGCAGCACTGGTGGAAGAACATAGTGTCTCCTGAGCACGGGCCATCCTCCTGGATAAAGCAAGGCAGAGCTCACCACTCCCTGCTGCTGCTTGGGCGCTGCCACTGTAGCGGGATATTTTAAGGAATTAGAGAGACCGAGGGGTTGAGGAGGATATTTATTATTTAGGTGCAATGGCCCAATCGGATTAATAGCCAAAGGACTGAGCCCTGAACAGAGAGTTAAGTTACCTTTTAAGCATTTCGTGGGGTGGGGAGAGATCTCTGCAGGGTGAAGCATGTTACAGAAGCGAGAAACAAAGACAGTTATTCAATTAATTGAGACATGCATTACATCATTTCTTACTTTTCAAGGAAAAACATGTTTTACGACTTGAGTTTATCTGTCTGTGACCTTGCAACTGCACAGCTAGAGAAACAGGGTCTTCCCAATGCCTGGGAAAGGGAGAGATAAAGCTCACCAGCCACAGACAAACAGGCAGTTAAGTTTTAAAGGACTCCAGTTCTTTCTTTTCCTCAGGGGGAATTGGGTTTTCTTACATACAACTGAGTTTCTGTTTACACGTTCTTTTTTTTTTTTGAGATGGAATCTTTCTCTGTCGCCCAGGCTAGAGTGCAGTGGTGCGATCTCGGCTCACTGCAACCTCTGCCTCCCAGGTTCAAGCAATTCTCCTGCCTCAGTCTCCTGAGTAGCTGGGATTACAGGCACATGCCACCACGCCCAGCTAATTTTTTTGTATTTTTAGTAGAGATGGGGTTTCACCATATTGGTCAGGCTGGTCTTGAACTTCTGACCTCAAGTGATCCACCCACCTTGGCCTCCCAAAGTGCTGGGATTACAGGCGTAAGCCACCACGCCTGGACTACACATTCTTTAATTTCTTTTAATTCCTGTTCTACCACGTCCTGGTTGCCCTTGCCCTGGGCTCCCTGTGGAGGCAGGAACAGCCCCATCATCTCAGCCACCAGAATCCGGTCCCAGGGGTCTAAAGGGTACCACTCAGTACCCAGAGGGAAAAGGGGGCATGGCCAGAAAGAGCGTCTCAGGGCCCCTCTACCTCCCCCACACCCCCCACCCAGGGAGCCCAAACAGCCAGGCTGCTGTACCCTCACTCCCCTGGGACATCACACCACAAGCCAGGGCTGCCCGGCCCCACCCTTGCCCAGGGCTCCTTCCTAGGCAAGGATGCAACCAGCTGGCTCCAGCTGCAGGGCTGCCAGGCACCCTAAGATGAGGGACAGGGGCCCAGTTCCCAGGAGGACTGGATCACAGGGTTGGGAGACTGGCCACTGAGAAGGGGCATGGGCTGCTGGGTGGAGTTGAGTGGGCACCGTCACTGCAGAAGGTGGCCCACACCTGCCTCCCGTCCATTTGTGTCCTGTCTGTCCCCATGCCGGCAGCTGCAGCCCAAGCCTTGTGGTGTCACCAGTGCACGGGCTTCGGAGGGTGCTCCCGTGGATCCAGATGCCCAAGGGACTCCACTCACTGCGTCACTACTGCCACCCGTGAGTGAGGGGGCCAGCAGTGGGCTGGCCATGCCCTTCTTGCCCAGGTGGGAAGATGTGGGCTCAGAGGGGGACAGAGCCTGATCCAGGCACCCAGTAAGTCAGAAGCATAGGGGAGAGTGTCCACCAGCAATGCCAGGGAAGGGTATGAGCAAAGGGCCACGTCTGCCCCCAGGAGTGCCCGCATGCTTCATGTACCTGGGGCGTCTGACCCTCAGCTCAGTGGCAGATGGGGCAGCACGGTCTGGGCAAACCAGAGGCTCAGGGAGCTCCATGGTTTCTCTCGTGCCCACTCAGGGGTCCTCAGCAACATCGAGAACTTGCCTCTGGTCACCAAGATGTGCCACACGGGCTGCCCCGATATCCCCAGCCTGGGCCTGGGCCCCTACGTATCCATTGCTTGCTGCCAGACCAGCCTCTGCAACCATGACTGACGACTGCCCTCCCCCAGGCCCCGGGACACTCAGCCCCCACAGCCCTCACGGCCTGGCGCCAGGGCTCACGGCCGCCCCTCCCTCGAGCCTGGCCAGCCCACATCTCCCGGCCTCTGCAGCCACCATCCAGCATCACTTGTCCTCGGGAAGTCCTGTGTGGAGTCTTGTCTAAATCTGCTGCTGTCCAAGCCTGGGGCCCGTCGTGCCTGCCACCCCTTCAGTTCCCAACCTCCCCCAAATAAAATATGATTGGATCATGTGGCACAAGCTATCCAGTGGGAGTGGAGCCCCGCCATCCTGGGCTTGGGGGTAGAGGGGAGTAGATTTGGGAATGCCTCGCTACCTCACCCCAGGCTAAACCCTACTACCCCACCCCCACCTGCCCTTATCACGGAACAGGCCCTCCCACCTCCAGCCAACTGTCAGGCCTGAAGGGCACAGGGGCCCAGGCCCCCCGGGCCAGTTGCTGTTCTTGAAGTAGCCAGAGTGGGAGTTGGGGCTGGGGCACACGAGGAGACCCCCACCCCAGAGCGGGAGTTGGGAAGCCTCAGAGAAAGGACATCCCGGCTGAGACATGGAGGCTGTGCGGGGTGGAGGAAGGGAGGAGGGGCCCTTGGCAAAGACGGCTGCCGCAGGCCTTCTGGAATAGGGAGAGGGGTGAGGCAGGCTGTAGCTTCCTCACCCTCGCCCTCATACACACCCCTGCGCCAGTGGCCCGGCCTGCCCCTCTCTAGGAAACCCCCAGTTCTGGCAGGGAACACTACCTCCAGCTCCTCTGGGCCACTGGGTACCCAGCATGCAGGGCAGGGCGCTGGGGAGAGATGCTGGGAGTGGGATGAATCAGACTGAGGTGATAGGCAGCTGTGGCCGCCCAGCTCGGGGTGGACGTGGGAAACTAGGTGGGCGATGTTTGTGGAAGTTGATCACTCGCTAGGCAAACATTGCGTCATGGCTGAGCTTCAGGCTGCAAGGTTGAATGAGACCCCCACATAAGCCTGGCACTCTCCTCGGAGAGGCTGAGGCGAGTCCACATCTGCAGGTCCCCGCACTGAGTTAGCACCTGCCGAGAAACACACCGTCGGTCCCTTCCTTGGCCTTTCTTGTTCTCACCTTCGCAAAGTTCTCGTGAAGAATCAGCTCAGGAGAAAGCTGATGCAATTGTCAAGCTGCTCCACAAGGAGGGGTGTCCCAGGCAGGGCCGCCGGACATTCAGGTGCCAGGACAACTTTCAGAGTAGCCCCAGGCACAAAAGGAGATGCAAACGGGGTGCGCTGGAGATACCCAGATAAGCTCAAGAATTGAGGTGACAATGGAGTGTTTCTCAGATCTGCGGGGGAGGGACAGGGCGCCCCACAGCCACCGTGGAGCACTGCAGCGTGGAGCACTGCTGCGAGAACAGGGTAAGGCTGGATCCTCACCTCTCTTGTTAAAGCCAAAGGCATTCCAACTGAATCAGAGGTTTCAATATAAAAAGAAGAGGTTTTTAAATGCTAGACAATTCAGAATAGAAAAACAAGACACATTCCTGAAGGGACTGGACACAGAGTTGCTGTAAACACAGTAATTCCACTCCTGGGCCAACTTCCACCCCTAGACATGGCCCAAGAGGAGTAAACAGGCGTCCACACAAAAGCCTGTGCACAAACATTCGCAGCGGCGTTATTCACAGCAGGCAAAAGGCAGGAAAAACCCAAATACCCATCAACTGATGGACAGATCAACAGAAATGACAGACCCGTACCAGAGGATGTTATTTAGTCACATAAAGGAATGAAGCCCTGACCCACGTCAAAACACGGGGAGCCTTGAAAATACGGGGGAGCCTTGAAAACAAACACGACGCTGAGTGAGACAGCAGCCGTGCACAACAGGCCAAGCAGTGTACAATTCTATTTCTCAGAAGTAGCCAGAATAGGGAGCTCTATAGAGAGGGAAAGGAGATGAGTGGTTACCAGAGGGTGGCAGGGATTATTAAGAAATAGAGAAAGGCCGGGCACGGTGGCTCACACCTGTAATCCCAGCACTTTGGGAGGCCAAGGAGGGTGGATCACCTGAGGTCAGGAGTTCGAGACCAGCCTGGGCAACATGGTGAGACCCCGTTTCTACTAAAAATACAAAAATTAGCCAGGTATGGTGGCACATCCCTGTAATCCCAGCTACTTGGGAGGCTGAGGCACGAGAATCACTTGAACCAGGGAGGCGGAGGTTGCAGTGAGCTAAGATCATGCCACTGCACTCCAGCCTGGGCAACAGAGCGAGACTCCATCTTAAAAAACAAACAAACAAACAAAAAGAAATAGGGAAAAGCCAGAGTACTTTTCCTGCTCTCACACAATACAGTACTTCACCCCGTCACCAAAGTGTGTGTGTATTTCTCTCCACCAGCAACCAAGCCACACTGCAGTGGACACCGTCTGAGTGTCCTCCATTCAATTCCGACGCCATTCCCATGGAGGTCGCGTCAGATCCTGCAGGTGGAGGGCTCAGTCCCACGTGATGAGCTCCACTTCCGATGCCAGTCACAAGCCCCAGGTGTGGCCTGTGCTTCTGACTGACCTGCCATGAATCAGGGTTCCCACGACCCCCTCCTCGGGTTTGATGACTTGCTGGAGCAGCTCACAGGACTCAGGGACGCACTGACCAGCGTTTACCCATTGACGACACAGGCTGTGACGAAGGTGCGGATGCACAGCAGGTGGAAGAGACACGCGGGGCAGGCACGGGGAGGGGCGCGGAGCTCTCAGGCCCTCCCAGCGGCACCCCCAGGCACCTGCGCACGCTCTGCTGTCGGAAGCTCCCTGAACCCTGTCCTTTTGGGGAATTACGGCGGCTTCATTACATAGGCATGATGGATTAAACTACCGGCCACTGATGAACCCAACCTGCCGCCCCCTCCTCTCCCCTGAAGACTGGGGGTGGGGCTGAAGTCCCAGCTCTCTAATCCTGTGGGTCCCCATCCTGAAGCTCCCTGGGGACCCCCAGTCACCAGTCCTCTCATTAGCGTACAAAAGATGCCCTTGCCACTCCAGGGATTCCAAGGGTTTTAAGAGCTGTATGTCAGGAAACCAAAATATCCATCTCACAATCTCACAAAATAAGCATCTCACGTCCTCACAGGAACGAAGCAGCGAGAGTGCTAAAGCGTTCAGGGTTTATTTTCAAGATGATGAAAATGTGCTAAAACTGTGAATACACTAAAAACCACTGAATTACACACTTTAAATGGGTGGATTGTGTAGTATGTGAAGTATATTCAATAAAGCTGTTAAAAAATTTTTTAAAGAAAAGACACAAAACCAGAATTGGGATTCATAAATACTATCTAAAAATCTAAAATAAAATAAAATAAAACAAAATAAACAAACTGAAAGACAAGACAAACAAGGAAATATTTGCCACGCATATAACATACGATGATTCCCTCCACACATAATGTCCACGAAAAGAGTCAAACTGTAAAATATGTGAAGACATTTATTCTGAGCCAAATATGAAGGGCCATAGCCCATGACACAGCCCTCAGGAGACCTGAGAACATGTGCTCAAGGTGGCTGGGGCACAGTCTAGTTTTAGGGAGACTGAAGACCTCAATAAAATACATGGAAGAGGTACATTGGCTCCATCCGGAAAGGCGGGACAACTCCGGGGGGATGAGGCTGGCGGTGGGTGGGGGGGTGGCACGGGGAGGCGGATTCCAGGATTTAGGCAGATTTAAAAATTTTCTGATTGGCAATTGGTTGAAAGAGTTAAGATTATCTAAGACCTGGAATCAATAGAAAGGAATGTGTGGATTATAAGGGGTGTGGAGACCAGGGTTTTATCATCAGATGAAGCCTCCAGGTAGCAGGCTTCCGAGCCAACAGATGGTAAATGTTCTCATCAGACTGAAGGTCTGTGTGATGTTAAACACTGGTCAGCTTTCCCTGAATTCCAAGAGGGAGGAGGGATGATGAGGCTGTCAACCCTTTCCCATCATGGTCCAACCAGTTTTTTCAGTTCACTTGGAATACCCTAGCCAAGAAGAGGGTCCATTCAGATGGTTGGGGGCGGGGGCTTAGAATTTTATTTTTGGTTTACGGTAAATAATCCTTCCAGATTCCAAAGAGCAACAGATATGAGCAGCCTGTTCAGAGAAAAAGCCATTCAAGTGGCCAAGCCAAGGAGAAGAAATTCAACCGTACTTAGAATCAGAGAGAGGTGCCAAGCAGTATTGTAAACCCCTGGGCAGGAGAGCCACTCGGCCACGTGGTGAGAAAGGACATGGACCAGCCTCTGTGCTGTCACAGATGCAGCCCTTGCAGGACAAATCAGCCCTGTCCAGGAAACTTCAAAATGCCACTAGCACTTTGTTGAATGCTGGCTCCCTAAAATGTCCGCAAAAACCCAGGACAGGTCACCCCAGCTCCCTCCAGCACTCCTGGGATTTGAGTCTGATTTGAGGTAGGTCTTCCTAGTGGGGGTTCAGTTAGGGTTGGGCCAGGACTGGAAAAAGTAGTTTAGAATTTTGAGGCCATGGGTTCTGAGTCTGGAGGTGTCCCCCAACGGTTTCTATTGAAGAGTCAATAGGCCTTTGGGAAGATCCTCAATAAATGATAGCTATTTGCTGCTTTATCTTCCTAGAAGCGTGAAGCTCAGGGATGAAAACGCAGGGTGGAAGTCTTGGTCTAGGCTGGGCGGGTGTGCTCTACTCCTGTATCCCAGCACTTTGGGAGGCCAAGGTGGGCAGATCACTTGAGGTCAGGAGTTCAAGACCAGCCTGGCCAACATGGTGAAACTCCATCTCTACTAAAAAACACAAAAATTAGCCAGGCGTGCTGGCATGTGCCTATAATCCCAGCTGCTCAGGAGGCTGAGGCAGGAGAATCACTTGAACCCAGGAGGGGGAGGTTGCAATGAGCCGAGATAGCACCATTGTACTCCAGCCTGAGTGACAGAAGGAGACTCTGTCAAAAAAAAGGGAAGGGGAGGGGAGGAGAAGGGAGGGGATCGTGGTCCCATGAACAGTGAGCCCTGTGGGTGGAGTTGGCTCTGGTTCTCAGTGTGAACAAGCCCCACTGCTCCCCACTGCTCCTAACAGGGTAGGGGGCAAAGAAGGTGCACAGACAGATGTTCCCTGCAGTTTTCCCATCATGAAGCTGCAGGTGAGCTAACCTGTGTGCATGCAGAGGGTGGCACTGGAGGGCGCATCCCTTCTGGAAGGACACAGGATACCTCTTTCCAACGTACAACCCTTGGTGCTATTTGTGCCTCCACTTCCTTTTCAACATAGTAACACTGGTTTAGGAGCCATTGGTCTGCCCTGCTGGAGCCCCTCAGGGGGGATGCCCGGGAGAGCCAGAGCCCAGGTGGGGCAGCCCTTGAGACTCCCGGGAGGAGACCACCTGAGGGCAGGCTGCGCAGGAGGCTCACTGGGCCCTGGAGCTGCCGTGGCAGAGAGAGCTCTTCTGGGTTCTGGGTGAGGGTGGGTGTTGCCAATATAAATTGGGAGGGACCGTGCAGGGGACAAGGCCACAGAGGGGGACAGTGCCAGCTCCTACAGGGCTCTGCGTGTCAGACTCAGGATTGTGTCTCCTGCCCACTCAGCACCTCTAAACCTGACTCCTTCCAGCCAGCCCCCAGCCCTCCCTGAGCCTTGCTGGCATCTAGCCTGGAAGGGTGCCCCAGGCCTGAACTTTTGACACTTCCTTTTCCCGGTCCACCCAGGAAGCTGCTCAAATAGAGGAATTCCTCTTTTGGAGGCAAAAAAAAGAAATGAGGCCGTCCCATACGAGTGTGCCCTGCCCCGGGCTTGGCCACAGCCTCCCACATGGGACCTGGGGACTCCTGCCCCGAAGCAGAGGACGGGGCAGGGGTGAGAGGATGGAGGAGAAGCCACCAAGAGCAGAGCGGGTGGGGCTGTGTACAGGCAGGGTGTCCCTGGGTGCAGGGGAGAGGCCCCCAGTGCTGCCCCTGTGGCACCTCACTGTGGCTTGGGGCCAGCGGGGAGCCCAGCCTGTGTTGGTAGAAGGCCCTGGCTTCCACCCACAACCATGCCAGGACACTGCCTGGCGCTGCAGGGGCTGGAAAACCACAGCTCCCTTTCCCAGGGGCCCTGGAGCCTAGGGGCGACCTCTATTTCCTGAATGTGGAAGGCAAGAATCCAGGCAAGGCACCTACTTCTCGGCTGGCCACACGGGGTCCTGGCTCATGGGGCTTCCTGGCCACAGGCCACCTGGCAAAGGTATACACATGCACAGGCCCCGCCCACCACCTCCCTGATGAGCAGTGGCTCCGCCCACCACCTCCCTGATGAGCAGTGACTCCGCCCACCGCCTCCCTGATGAGCAGTGGCTCCGACCACCGCCTCCCTGATGAGCAGTGGCTCCGCCCACTGCTCATGATGAGCAGTGGGCATGGGGTCTCATTCCAGGAGTCTTTCTTCAAGGCCCATTGAGAGCCATCAGAAGACATTACTTGCAAGTGACCCTTGAGGGTCAGATTCTGGAGCTGGTCATCCAACCTCTGAGGGTCCCATCAGCCGAGAAGATGAACAGCAACAAATCAGCTTCCAAATCCCTCCCCTGGGATGAGGTGGCCATGGAAGGTGAGGCTTTGGGGACAGCTGCACTTCATCATAAAGGCAAGAAGGGGGAAGGCAAGAGCAGAGGCCAGAAGCCACCTCCAATGAACCTCAGCACTTGCAGAGAGAATGACAAAGTTGGGGGTTTTACTGTTTGGTGCAAGATGCAGCCAAGGACGGAACATGTCTGCTAGTGGCAGAAAAGGAAGACAGAGACTGAAGCCGGAGGAGGATGCAGTGTGCGTGGCTGACTGGCAGGCAGAGGGGTCACCTAAGGAGGACTGGAGGCCCTAGGGCAGAGAGTAGCCTCTGCAGATGCCAGCAAGGAAACAGGGACATCAGCCCTGTGACCTCAAGGACGCGGATTCTGCCAGTGCCTGAGTGAGCCTGGACGAAGATTCCTTCTGGAACCTCCAGGTTGGAGTCCAGCCCCACCACACCTTGACTGTGGCCTGTGGGACCCTGAGCAGAGAGCCCAGCTGAACTCACGTGACAAGAAAGACCGCAGCTAAAAATGAGTGTTGTTTTAAGCCACTACGTGTAGGGTGATTTGCTACCCAGCAATAGACGCTAGTGCAGCTTGAGGCTCTGATGAAACTGGTGGCCACGTTGAACGGGCCCACATGGCCGGGAGCTGAGGGCGGCCTCCACCAACAGACAGTGAGGAACAGAATTTGGCCAACTCCACACCAGTTTAGAAGCAGGTCCTCCCCAAGCTGAGCCTTGAGATGATTATGGCTCAGCCAAAGCCTGCACTGAAGCCTGGGAGTGACCCAGCAGCAACATGAAGCCATGCCCAGACTCTGAAACAGAAACAGTGATGCAGTAAGTGTGGGCAGCCACAGGATACTGACTGACCGCAGGGCGTGAGCAGACACAGAACACTGGGTACTGATGGGACACCAGAGGACCATGGACAGACCCTGGGTAGCACGGGACATGGCAGACCATGGCACCTGAGCTCCCATCCCACCCTGGGTACCATCCGACCCACTGACCTGTCAGCAGAAACTGCCAGGGACCAGAGTGTGGCCTCTCTTCACTGCAGCCCTCCCCCACCAGAGTGCCTCTACGAGATAGACTTGAATCTTCACTCCGGCCCATGGAGAGGGATCTGGGGAAGGTCCTGGAGAAAGGCCTCACAGCAGGGGTCCAGTGTGCCCAGAAAAGAGGCAGTGGTGTGGGAGCAGGTGCAAGGGCCCCATCTGATCCCTGGATCACAGTTCAGGGGTAATTTCTTGAAGTCAGCAGCTCCAGTGGCAGCCTGACAATTCCTCAGTTTAGTGGCAGCATTACTGTGGGTGGAGGTCATCCCTGGAGGCTGTCTCTGGTCACACATTGAGCCCTGATCCTAGTTACACACTGATCCCAATCCAAGTCACAAGCTGAACTCTGACATTTGTCACATGCTGAGCCCTGCTCCCAATCACACACTAAGCCTTGATCCTGGTCACAAGCTGAGCCCTGACATTTGTTACATGCTGAGCCCTGCTCCTAATCATACACTGAGCCCTGATCCTAGTCACAAACTGAGCTCTGACATTTGTTACATGCTAAGCCCTGCTCCTGATCACACACTGAGCCTTGATCTTAGTCACAAGCTGAGCTCTGACATTTGCTACATGCTGAGCCCTGCTCCTGATCCTGATTACAAGCTCAGCCCTGGCATTTGTTATGTGCTGAGCCCTGTTCCTGATCACACATTGAGCCCTGATCCTGAATACAAGCTGAGCTCTGACATTTGTTACATGCTGAGCCCTGCTCCTGATCACACACTGAGCCCTGATCCTAGCCACAAGCTGAGCTCTGACATTTGTTACATGCTGAGCCCTGCTCCTGATCACACACTGAGCCCTGATCTTAGTCACAAGGTGAGCCTTCCTCCTGATCACACATTGACTCTGATCCTGGTCATGTGCTGAGCTCTGACATTTGTAATATGCTGAGCCCTGATCTTAATAATACACTGATCCCGGATTCTGGTCACACACTGAGCCCTGACCCAGAAGTTCCTAGTGGAACTGAGGAGGGAAGGGTGTGGTCTTCTCGAAACACAGTCCTCCCAAACAAAGCCAGCCCAGACCCTGGCTAGGCCACATTTTTCCACACCCCAATCAGGCAGCTGCAACTTTGCAGAAAGGCTTAGCCTGGATCTCTCCATTGGGGGTCAGGCAGAAATTCTAGGAGGAGCTGGATGCCTGGGGGCCAGGCGTGTGTTCTGGGTAGAAGGCACAGGTGGGGCCCCTGGGTCTGAGGACAGGAAGGAGCTGGGCCATGCCATGTCAGAGGAATTGGGTCAGGCCTCAAGAGGAACCCAGGGTGTGTAGGGTGGGGTGTCTAATCCAGTTAGCTGCACCCAGCATCAATGGCCAATTGCAGCGTGGCTGAGTGGCACCATGCAAAACCAGACAGGCTTGCTGCTGTTCGGCCTTCACCCAGCCCTGGCTGGGCGGCCTTGCCTAAGTCAATTACTTCTCAGAGCCATAGTTCCCTTATGCAAAATAAATGCATTAGCACTGTGCACTTCTGGAGCTGCAGTGAGGAAAAGTGAGATCCACTAGGCTAAGTCTCTGACACAAGTGGGATGCTAGGGAATCCTGGGTGCCCCGCTCACCACCCCTGCACACTCCGCCCCCACCTAGTGCTCAGGGAGACACAGGCTCTCTCAGTCGCTGGGGCAAAGACCAGATCCCAAACAGAGCTGATCCAGCAGGAAAACCCAGGGACCCCAAAAGGGCCATGGCAAGGAGGGGGTGCGGGCAGGTGAGTGCAGTCTACCAAAGACAGAATTTCAACCAATGGGGCAGGAGAAGGAAGGGCATTCCTGGCAGTGGGAACAGCAGGAGCGAAGACCAGGAGTGGGTGGGATTTAGGCGCTCGGGCTGAAGAGCTCCAGTGTGAGTCTCGGCATAGCTGACATCATGGCCTTGATGGCCAGGGCCCAGGAAGACGCAGGCTGCTTGTCATGCATCCGTCCCCCCACCCCCACACGCTACACACTGGCAGCAGCAGGACTGGGAGCAGGAGGTGGCAGGATCACAGACCAGACACAACCTGGGGAGGCTGGTGCAGGCACTCTGGGGGGATGTCCATAGGGGGAGCGGGGAGCTGAGCTGGAGATGGCCTGAGTCATCCCAACCCAAAGTCACTGTCCCCTGTCTGAGCCCGGGGCAAGGAACTTTCCCTCAGTTTCCTTACCTGCAAGCAGGCGGTAAGCCCTGCCTGAGGGCAGCCTTATCAGAAGGTTAGAGATGAAGGTGTCCAGCTGGCAGGTGGCTGGGGGCATGGGATTAGCGCCCCCAAGGGACCCCAGCTCCTCCCCACCCCACTCTCCATCCAGGACCTTCTCTGCTGACCCAGTAGTTTTTGGCGTTTGTCTCCTTAAGCCTCTGAGCAAACCGTGTAGCTGACTGTCTGGGTGGCAGTTCAGTCCCAGGCCCCCAGTACCCAGCCTGACCACCCAAAGGAGCTGGGAGGTGGGACCAAGGTCCTCCTGGGAAGATTCCAGCCCAGAATCTGGGAAGATCCAGCACACGGATCTGCCCTGGAACACAGATGACCTGAGGCAGGAAGGATCCCTGAGGAGCCAGCAGCAGAGAGTGGCCCACCACCCTTCCCTGTCCCCTTCCAGGCCGTCTGGGGGGGTCCCTGGGCTGCCTGGGGTGAGTCAGTGGGGGCTGTCCTGGATGGAGGGGAGTGGGGAGAAGAGTCGAGTCATAGGGTGTGTAGGAGTCAAGGAGGGTCCCCACAAAGGGAAGGGGGGGCAGCCCCAGGCCACGGCGGCAGAGGCGGGGAGCTGGAGGGGTCAGGAAGGGGCCGGGAGGGGACCCGCCTGTTACTGGAGGAATGAGGAAGAGACAGGGAGGGTCCCAGGTGGGTGGGGTGGGCCTAGAGGGCCAGGCTGGGAGTGGGAGGAGCAGCCTGGAAGGATAGGGAGCCCCTGGAGGCGGGCCTGGGGCGGGGTCTTCACACCTCCACCCTCGGGAAACTTGATCCCACTAATCCGCTCAGCGGACCGGTCTGTCGGCCACCTCACTTGGTGTCCGCTGTACCCCGCCGGGCAGGAGCACTCCCACTAGGGTGAGAGCACGGAGGAGTGGGCCGGACCATGAGGGGGACGCAGCTGGCGCTCCTGGCGCTGGTGCTGGCTGCCTGCGGAGAGCTCGGTGAGGCGTGGGACCCACAGGGGAGCTGCGGCAGAGGGAGATGCCACCCACTGACATTCGCACACTGTTCCTAGGGAGGGCACCCCAGGAAGGGGCCTCAGAGGCAGGAGAAGCCAGAGGAGCGGGGCCGGGGTGTGGCCCACCCCTCGCCATAAGGAGAGGAGGGTGGAGATGGAGAGAGGGGCGGGCGGTGAGGGGGGCGGGAGCCCAGTGAGGGTGAGCAGAGGGTGGCCTTCGAGGTAGGCGGGGGGCAGCCAGCCACATCCCTGGGCACCAGCCTGGGTGTCGCACTTTATGGGGGGCTATGGGCACCCGAACGGCCTTGAGCAGGGGAAGGAAGGGGACCCCAGGGAGGCTATGAGGCTGGGGTGGCAGTAGGGATGGAGACGAGTGGGGAAACCAGACACACGGGGTGGGGTGACTCCCTCACATGGGGCCTGAAACAACCATCGGGGCAATGTCCTGGACTCAACCAGAAGCAGCTGGGCCCAGAGACCCCTGGCGGATGGCTCTGCCCATTTCCCAGAAACAGGTGCACCAGAGGGGGCAGAGGCCCCGCTGGGTCCCCAAAGTGGGGACGGAGGAGTCAGGCCTAGCTGTGCAGCTGGCTGCCCCAGCCAGCATGGGGGCCAGCCAGACCCACCTGGGTTGCTGCCGTTGGGGCTGGGGTCACTAGAGCAGGAGGGAATTGAAGCCTCTCCGTCCCCCTGCCGGCCTGTGAGTCCCTGTGGGAGAGGCGTGGGCACCCAGATGCAGACCGGACATAGCCTGGTCCACCCTGCATTCCATGGGCCTCCTGGCCGGATCCCTTAACCCCCACAGCAGCACTTCCCTGATGGGGAAACTGAGAGGGTAACCTGCTCCCAGCCACGCCCCCACCTGAGGCTTCCTGCCTGAGGTGCCTCTTGCTGTGAAGATGCCAGGGCTTCAGTCCCCCTGAGTCTCCCAAATGTTTCCAAAGGGACTTGGCTTGGCCCCACCCAGGCCTTGCCGGCTGGATCCCCGCCCCCAGCAGCTGACTCTGACTCTGGGATGCAGGGTCCCGAGGTGGAGCCCGGCCTGTCCCCAACCCCAGGCTCCTGGTATTGTTCCTGAGTTTTGGCCGGTGGGCACCTTGACCCTGGCCAGTGTCACTGTCCCCTTCAGACCTGGGCTTCCAGGACAGACTGTCTCTGGGCTTGGGAGGGGTGAAGCCTGCCTGACAGCCCTTGTCCCTTCTCCCCAGCGCCGGCCCTGCACTGCTACGTCTGTCTGGAGCCCACAGGAGTGTCCGACTGCAACACCATCGCCACCTGTACCATGAATGAAACCATGTGCAAGACAACACTCTACTCCCGGGAGATAGGTCAGTGGGCACGGAAGGCGGGCAGAGCTGGGTGCCCGGTCAGAGCCACCTCCAGCCCAGTCACCACCAGCCAGCTTGGCCCCAGTGCACAGCCACCACCTCACCCATCTCCAAAAATGGCTTTCTGCCTGAGCTAGGCCTCCCTCTGCCCTCCCCTTTCTTCCTCTCTCCCTCCTGGCTTTCAGTGGGAACACATCTGCGACCTCGTTTTGGGGGGACTGGGGAAGGTGGGCACACTTACAGACTTTGGTTTCACAGTCACCTCAGGGTGGGAACTGCCCCATCAGGTCGGGTGCAGAATGCCAGGTGTGTGCCTGGCACATGGTAGACACCCGGACAACACCAGTGGGAGGAAAGAGGAAGAGGAGGGCACTGGGCCAGGAGGGATGGAAACCCAGGTGGGTGACCCCAGAGTGAGGCCTGCATGAGGTGGTGCTGGCAGGGACCAGGGCTTGGAGGCAGTAACCAGCCCTGATGGCCGACTCTTCCCGCACCCCACAGTGTACCCCTTCCAGGGGGACTCCACAGTGACCAAGTCCTGCGCCAGCAAGTGTGAGCCCTCGGATGTGGATGGCATCGGCCAGACCCAGCCCGTGTCCTGCTGCAACACTGAGCTGTGCAATGTAGATGGGGCACCTGCTCTGAACAGCCCTCACTGCCTGGCCGGGGCCCTCACGCTTCTCCCACTCCTGAACCTCCGACTCTAGAGTCCCCCCCAACCCCCATGGCGCTGCGCCAGCCGGCCCTGTGCGGCCCAGCCCCGAATGCCTTGAAGAAGTGCCCCCTGCACCAGGACTCCTGAGTCTCCTTGCTGGGCACAGACCTGCCTTCCAGGGCAGAGAAAGGGGCCCCGAGCTGCATCTCTAACCCTGTCTATGTCCCCATTCCTGTTTGTCTGTCTCTCTTCCTGCCTTCCTGTGATGTTAGGCTCTATCCCATCGTGAGAACAGCCACTGGGCCTGGGACCCCCACAAACCATGCAGATCTCTGCTCTCAGGGGATGTGGGGGCCTGACCAGGGTGGGGCAGGAGCTGAGACCCATGGGCAAGGGAGCACCACATCTACCAGGGTAAAGTCAGGGCCGGCTCCTGGAGGAGGGGGCATTAGGGCCAGGCCTTGAATGACGGAGAGATCTGGCAGGCCTTGAGGAGGGCAAGGCATTGTCAGGTGACAGGAAGGTCAAGGCAGTGACCAGGATCTGAGGTTGTCCCCTGGAGCACCCCACTACCCACCTCCCCAGCCTAAGCAGGGCCTTGCCCCAAGGCTGGTGGTGGAGGCTGCTTTGAGGAGGAGGCCATGGGCCAGATCCCAGTGAGTCCACTGCCTGCCTCTCCGGGCTCACCCCACATGTCCACTTCATATCCCTGCGCTCACTTAGCTCTGCTCCCAGGGATCAGGTGTCCAGGGGGCCAGATGCCCAGGGCAGCACAAGTTCTGGTGCAGAAGGGGCCTTCATTTCACCTCGGCCCTAGGACAGTGCCCCAGTCCTCCAGGCGACTCACCAGGGAGTCCTCTGCCCCAGAGGCCTCCAGGCTGAGACTCCCCATGATCACAGGCAGGGACATGCATGCACACACATGCACGTGGTCCTAGAAACACACAAGGAACTCAAGGACATGAGGAAGGACAGGACCCAGTGGTCCTACTACCCAGCGCCGGCCCCTCCCAAGGGCTGCCCAAGGGAGGTGGTGGCAGGAGATGGGCCCCAGCCTGGACAGAAGAGAAGAATGTTCACCCTGGAACCTGCCCCTCCCCCTGGACCCTGCAGACCCCCACTGAGCCTACCCACCTCACCCTCCCTGCTCCAGGAGCTGCTTCTGGGCCCCTGGGTGTCACCCTCCTGGGACTAGACCTGTAGTCCACAGTGGGCGCTATGGTCCAGGGCCTGCTCCCAGGGGCCAGGCCCCCACAGCCCAGTGAGTCCCACCACCTGGAACACAGTGACCATCGGTCAGAGACGCCTTGGGGGTAGAATGAGGGCAGCCTCCTGGAGAGGAAGGGGCCTGGGAGGCTAGGAACATTCTAGTGCTGTCTTGGATGCCGCATCCAGGCTGTGACCCTGAGCTCTGATTTTGTCAAGAGGGAGACACGCTCTCAGCCATCAAACATGTCACAGCTCTCAGCTGGCTTTTCTCAAGACTCTCACAAAGTGGCCTCAAAGCCTAGTCTAAGACTCTATTTACACACACACACACACACACACACACACACACACACCCCCTACAGAGACTGGGAACAAGGCCTATCTGTGATCAGAGATCAGGACTCAGCCTGGAATCAGGATCGGGGCTTAGTCTTTGGCCGGTGATCAGGGCTCAGTCTGTAACCAGTGCCAAGCCTTGATCTATGATTGATGTCCTGGCTCCGTGTGTGAGCCTGTGGCTCAGCCACAGAGTATGACTCAGTCAAGGGCCAAGGATCGGGATTCGATCTCTAACCAGGATCCAGGCTCAGTGTGTGATTGTGTGATCAGGAAAAGGCTTCAGTCAATGATAGGGGAAGAGGCTCAGTTAAGGCCCAAGCACAGGCTGTGAGTGAGGCCCATTCCAAGCCTTAGAGCCCTATCTTTGACCTTAACCTCACTGTCCACGATGCCACCTTTTGGGTGCCTGTCCCTGAGATTCCCCATGACCCAAGTCCTTCAACCAGGCTTACTCCTCAGCTTGCCAGTGGGGTAGGAGGGGCTTATAGTGAGGTGCCAGGGCAGGGACCCAGGGCCCCACCAGTGCAGTGCCCTGGGCAGTTTCACAGCCTGTAGGAATGAGCAGGGCAGGGCATGGTTTGATGGGAAAAGGAAGAGCCAGTGGTTCCAGATTTTGGTTAGAAGAGGAGCCAGGAGCAGGCAGGGGAGGGGAGGAGTTGAACCCAGTGTCTGGTGGTGCAGGCCACTCCCACCCCTGGTGGGCTGATGGAGTGGGCTCTGCTCCTCTCTAGGACCTGCCAGTTCCAGCACCCTCTGCCCCGGCCCCATCACATCTGGCCCTGAAATCAGAGGAATGATGAGACCACCTTGCCAGCCATCCTTTTTTCTCTCCTACTCCTGACCTTCTCAAGGCCACCTGCTGTGACCTTCCAGAACAGGACGAACACCTGCCTCACTTCCTCAGGGAGCAGGGCTCAGCCCACCCCGGGCAGGGATGTCTGGATCTCAAATGCAGACAAGAGAGCCAGGACAAAGCTGGAACCCAGCACTAACCTTCAAGAGGACAAAGCACCCTCAGGACCTCAGTCATCACCTCCCATATCTCGGCATTAGCAATCCCCCCACCGCACTGCCAGGACATCTTCCTCAGCCTCAGCCCTGTGCCCGCTGTCATCATGCCATCTAAGCCACCAGTCAGTGTCCCCGGGTAGCTACTGCAGCCACCTCCAGCTCCTTGCCTCCCCCTTTCTATTCTAACCATTGTTAAATCAGCAGCCAAAGCTGAGAGCTCACTCAGTGCCTGTCTATGCAAAAAAACCCAATCCTGGCCGGGACGGTGGCCTCATGCCTGTAATCCCAGCACTTTGGAGGCCAAGAGTGGGCGGATCACGAGGTCAGGAGATCGAGACCATCCTGGCTAACGTGGTGAAACCCCGTTCTCTTACTAAAAATACAAAAGTGGTGGCGGGCGCGCCTGTAAGTCCAGCTACTCAGGAGGCTGAGGCAGGGAGAATGGCGGTGAACGGAGGCAGAGCTTGCAGTGAGCCAAGATCGCGCCACTGCACTCCAGCCCTGGGCGGACAGAGCCAGACTCCGTCTCAAAAAAAAAAAAAACTCAACCCTCCAAGGTGACTTGAATCTACAGACTCATCTGTGAGATGGTGACTGGCTCTGCAGCCTGGACACCAGGGTCAGAAACCAAGGCTGAGGGTATCAGACTGGCAAGTCCGGATCCATGGAAGAAGGCCTGAAACAGGTCTGTCCCAGTGGGGCAGGTTCTGCCCTGGAGAAGGAGTTAAGATTCCCATTCCCAGGGGTGTCCAAACCTGTGCTGAGTCTGTTAGAGAGGTTACAAAGCATTTGTACCCTGGGGAGAGGTCATCCTGACATGCCCACAAATACCCATCCTTGGGTCACATTGGAGAAAACAACATTAAGCCTGTCTTTAACTAACTCATCACCCATTCATTCCATCCATCCATCCATCCATCCATCCATCCATCCTCCACCCACCCACTCATCCATCCATCTCCCCTTTTAGCCATACATTATTCACCCATCCATCCTTCTACCCATATGCCCACCCACCCATCCATCACTCTCTTCATCCATCCACCCATCCCCTATCCGTTTATCTATCCATACATCCATTCATCTATCCATCCATCCATCCACTCATCCATCCACCCATCCATCCACCCATCCATCCATCTTCTGTCCAGTCTCCATTCATTCACTCATCCATCCATCCCCCCTTTCATCTACCCATCCACCCACCCCTGCATCTATCCCTCTTCTCTCTCCCAACCATTCACCCACCCATCCATCCACTCACCCATCCATCCACCCATCCACCCACCCATTCATTCAGCCATCCCCCATCCATCCACCAAGGCACCTACCTATTCATCCATCTATCCCCCTTCCATCTACCCATCCATCCATTTTCCATCCATCCCCCATCTATCCATCCACCCACACATCATCCATCCACCCACCATCCACTCATCCATCCATCCCCCATCTATCCATCCATCCATCCCCCATCTATCCATCTATCCATCCATCCCCCATCTATCATCCATCCATCCCCCATCTATCCATCTATCCATCCCTCCATCTATCCATCCACCCACACATCCATCCATCCATCCATCCATCCATCCATCCTCCAGCAAATACTGCTCAACGGTCAGCATGGTCAGACCCAGGCTGTGGGAGAAGGATTCTTAGAGGAATGGAAACATGTTCTACTTGAGGAGATGACAGTCCAGTAGTCCCTCAGGCCAGCCCAGATGGGGCAAGCATCAAACACCAACGGTGGTGGTGGGGCTTTTTGACTGCATGCCAAAGGCAGTGGAGAGCCAGGGAGCGTTTCTGGGAAGAGCAGTGCCATGGCCAGTTTGAATTTTAGCTGGTCTCTCTGAGAGGAGGGTGAAGAGTGTAGCCAAGGAGAAAGGGTCAGGCCCCTGGGAAAGAGACTGGGCTGACATGGCAGATAGCTGGGGCTTGGTGTGAACTGGCTCAGTGCTGCAGGCCTACCATGGATGAGAACTCCAGGGTTTGGGAAATGGAGCTGCCCTCAAAAAACCTGGTCTCCCGGTTCCGCATGTCGGGAAAAGGTGTGGATTCATGGAGAGGCAGGAGGAGGGGAGGGCAGTCACCTAACTAGGGCATAAATTCTCCCTGCTTGAGTCGTGTCTGACACAGTGCTGCTTTTCCATCTGCCAATAGGGTGCTGGGCTCAGGGATGGGCCAAGTTAGTGCCCACTCTTCCCACACAGCAGAAAGGCTGCCTGTGCCCCTCTGCTGGCTGACACTCCCACCCAGAGCACCCTCTGAGGACTTCCCTCCCTTTTAAAGCCAATGCAAGCAGCAGCTGAGAGCAGTACCCCTGTCCTCAGCATCTGCCCACCTCTACCCCAAGTACACCTGCACTGTAATCAGCACAGAGCTGAGGCGAAAGCGTTATGGAGACCCATCCTTTGCCAGAGACTTGCTAGTTTTCACAACCACCCTCTGGCAGATGTTCCCCTGACCAGTGTATAGATGAAAGAAAGTGGGGTGAGAGTGTCTTGTGAGTAGACATAAGCCACACGGAAGGCTGGGTGGAGCTCAGGTTCCAGAACTGGACAGTCTCTGACTCCTCTCGAAACATCTGGGTGTATCTGTGGACCAAGCCCTGGGGAGAGGCTGCTCTTGGCTGCCATCTGTGCACCAACCCATGTCAGCCCCTTTGTTTGATTTGCAGTAACTACGCCCTCCCTTGACTTTCTTGCAACCATCCCATAGCCTCACACAACCCACCTCAGCCCACAAGGCCAGGTCACTTCAGCTTTCACAACTACTAACAGAAAACCAAAGACTGGAGGGAAAAAGGGACCACATCAAGGCCACAGATGGAGAGAGCAGTAGGCCAGGACCAGAACCCAGGACTCTGGTGCCCGTCCAGAGCTCCTTCCGGCATCGAATTCTGCCTCAGAAGGGCCCACTCACTCACTACACATTTGTCTGCCACCACGCTTATAGCCACCCATCCCTCCATCCCTGAATTCTCCCATCCATTCATTCATTTTTTCACCCATCAACTATCTCAAGTGTCATTCATTCAGTAATCCATCCACTCATCTTTCCCCCATTCATTCCTCCATCCTCCACCCACCTATCCACCCATTCTCCATCCATCCATCCTTCTGAAATCCACCTATCCACACATCTATCCAACATCCATCCCTGCATCCACCCACCCCTCCTCCACCCATCCTCTGCCCATCCACCCATCCATCCCCCATCCATCCACTCATCCTCCCCTCATTACCCACACATCCCCCCTCCATCCTCCACCCATTCCCATCCATCCCCCACGCATCCACCCATCCATCCCCCATCCATCCCATATTCATCCCCCACTCATCCATCTACCCATCCAGCCATCTATCCATCCAGCCATTGACCCACTCATCCATCCATCCATCCACCCATCCATCCATCTATCCATCCCCCACTCATCCTCCACTCATCCCCCACCCATCCACCCATACATCCTCCACCCATTTCCCATCCATCCCCCATCCATCCACCCATCCATCCCCCATCCATTCCATATTCACCCCCCACTCATCCATCTACCCATCCATTCATCTATCCATCCATCCCCCACCCATCCACCCATACAGCCTCCACCCATTTCCCATCCATCCCCCATCCATCCACCCATCCATCCATCCATCCCCACCCATCCAAACATACGTCCTCCACCCATTTCCTATCCATCCCCCACCCATCCATCCATACAGCCTCCACCCATTTCCCATCCATCTCCCATCCATCCATTCATCCCCCACCCATCCACCCATCCATCCACCCACCCACCCATCCATCCATCCATCCTCCATCCATCCTCTATTAATTCCCGACCCATCCACCCATACACCCTCCACCCATTTCCCATCCATCTCCCACCATCCACCCATCCATCCCATATTCATCCCCCACCCATCCACCCACTCATCCATCCACCCATCCACCCATTCATCAACCCATCCATCCCCCATTCATTCACCCATCCATCCCCTATCCATCCCCTATTCATCCCCCATTCATCCATCCCCCATACATCCATCCATCCATCAACTTATCCATCTATGCAACCACCCATTAGGACATCACAGGACAGAGAAACCAGAGAGGCTGGTATACCTAGAAGGACTGTGGAGAGGAGCACCTTAGTGAGCCTCACAGCATGGGGAAGATGTGGGATATCAGATGGCAGACCAGGTAATGTGGTCACTGAGCGGCATGGCATAGGCAGGCATGGATATGGAACAGGGTGTGGTGGGGGGCATGCAGTAAAGAGCAGATAACACAGTCAGGCCAGGAGGCTGGAGGATGAGCAGAATCCTATTGTCAGGAACCTAAAACCAAGAAACTTAGGCTTGGTCTAAAGGTCATTAGTGGGAAGGGGCTGGCAGTGATGAGGGGCCACTCCTGGGCCCAACTTTGTCAGCCTGAGAGCAGTCTAGCTGCCCCACGCTACCGTCACCTGACACCTGCTTCCTACCTCTGGCCTCTACTTTGCAGGTGTGTATCAGGTGTACACAGACCAGGTAGACGTCTGTGGAGAGGGCTGCAGGCCAGGCTGCAGGGAGGGGGTGCCAGGCAGGGCTAGAGCAACAAGGGCAGAGACCACACTGACCCGGGTCTTAAGGGTCCCCCAGGTTGGGGCTGGGTGGCCTATGTGAACCCCAGAGGCACAGCCAGGACATGGCGGCTCATCCGAGGGGCAGTCTGAGCTCAGTGGGAAAGGCCTTCTCTGTCAGAGCTGTCCCAGGACCACTGGACATGGCTGGGGAAGAGTGAGTTCCCCAGTGTTGGAGGTGTGCAAGCAGAGGGCAGGGTCATCGTCCTCAGAACTCCCAGATCCAGCTCCCGGCCTGCCTGCCATGTTCCTGCCAGCTGCCTCCCCACTGGGCCCTGTACCGCCTTCCTGACTCACACGGCCAGTTCTGCCACCGCCCAGAAGCCGGTGCCCAAGGGGCTGGGTATAAATCCTTGATGTGAGGCTGGCTGTCTCTCGTTGCTCCTGACCACGGAGCAATGGCCTCTCGCTGGGCTGTGCAGCTGCTGCTCGTGGCAGCCTGGAGCATGGGCTGCGGTGAGTAGGCCACAGGCTGGTGGGGACCCTGCCTCTGAGCTTATCTGCCCACCTCCTAGGGGGATGGGGCTGTTAGGGGTGCTTTGGAGCCGAGAGCCTCCTTAGGCCCCCATGAGGCTCACACTCCTCATTCTCAGTGACCCTCCTGGGTCCCAGAGCCCAGGAGGTACAGGGGTCATGTCCCTCCTGGGACAGGGGTCATGGCTCCATTCTGCGGGAAGGAAGATGGAGACTTGGTGGAGGGATGCAGCATTCAAGTCTGTGGCTCAGCTCAGTGAGAGAAAGCTGCCAGAGAGGCCCCCTTGAAGGGCTCCCCAGGGCCTTGAAAGATGTCAGCGAGACTCCTTCAGCCCCTGCCTCCTGGTTCCAGGATGAGGCCCCCGAGGCCAGGTGATGAGGTTCTGCCCCCATCCCTCACCTAGGTGAGGCCCTCAAGTGCTACACCTGCGAGCAGCCCATGGTCAGTGCTTCCTGCAAGACCATTACCTACTGCAAGCCGGAGGACACAGCCTGCATGACCACGCTGGTGGCGGTGGAGGCAGGTGAGTCCAGACCCACGGCAGTGCCGGGTGCACTGGAGTCAGGGCCACCTCCCCCAAGTGCCTCCCTCCCTTGCTGGTGCTCCTCTCAGCCCAAAAGGCAGCAGGTGGGATGGGCAGAACAGGCTGCCACACCTTGGCTGGGGTGCCTTCCACGAGGGCGGCACAGCCCCCTCAGAGATCCAGTCCTGGGGCACCAGGCGCTGGAGGTGGGTGGGGCTTAATGGTCGGGGTCCCCTGGGGGCCCAAACACCAGCTCTGACACAGACCCACTGGGTGGTGTTGCCACAGCCTCTGGGCTCGGGCTCCCATCTCAGGCAGGCACTTCAGAGGTCCGACAAGTCCTAATAATTTATGAACAGGTCACAGTCGGAGGAGGGCTGGGCCCCGGGCGGCTTCACAGATGTGGGCTATTGGGAACGGGGATCGCAGGGAGGGCGAGGTCAGCAGACGGCGGTTGGGAGCAGTGCAGCAGCAGGCAGACGCTGCAGGGGAGTGTGGGTTCTGACACTGGCCCACCCTGCAGAGTTCCCCTTCAACCAGAGCCCCGTGGTGACCCGCTCCTGCTCCCGCTCCTGTATGGCCACCGACCCCGACAGCATCGGGGCCGCCCACCTGATCTACTGCTGCTTCCGAGACCTCTGCAACTCGGAACTCTGAACCGAGGGCGACAGGGTGGAAGGTGCTCCTCAGGCACCTCCTCTCTGACGGGGCCTGGCTCCACCTGTGGTCACCTCCTGCTGCCGGGGCACAGCTCACTCATGGGGTCTGAGGGGAGAGAACTACACCAGGGGCACCCTCTGCCTTCCATATCCCACACTTATAAAACATAAATAAGCCAAGAGTGGAGATGACTTTTGTCCTTCCTGGGCACTGACACCCTGCAGAGCTGGCCTTCAGGAGAGCCAGGCTGAGTGACAGCACATTCTAGGCACCTGCTCCTCCCTATCACCCAGAGCCTCTGTGACCCATTTCACAGACAGGAAAAGAGAGACTTAGGGGGAGAAATGCCTTCTGGGCCCTTTTCCTGATGCAAACTAGCCTGGCATCTCAGACCAAGACCTGTTCCCTAGCCCAGGGAACATCTCCTCCCGCTAAGAATCTCCCCTGCAGACACTGGAGGCGTCACTCCCACCCTAGAGTGGAAAGGAAGCTCAGAGTTGGAATCCACTTTCCTCCCACGGTGGATACATCTGGCTCTGCCTGCGCGGCCCAGGGGGTCTGCCTGGGTGTGTGCACCTGGGCCTGCTGGTACCACACAGCTCCACGGTTTCAGTCACCTCCTCTGACAACTGCCCGCTGTCCCCTTGGGATGGCTGAGGAGATTAGAGGAGGAGGAGCCCAGGGTCCTCAGGACCCAGGACACCTGACTTGCAGGCTTGCTTCCCCCTCTGCCTGGCCCTGGCTGTCCCATCACAGTCACAGTGCTCTGTGCCACTGTCACCACTGTCGGGAGGTGGGCAGAGCCAGCGGGGAGCACGGGCTGCTGTGGGCCTGAGCCACCCACAGACATTGCCCCTCATCAGACCCCAGTCCCCTGGTGTCCCCTGGGCTGCACACCTCCTAAGCGCTGCCCAGCTAGGTCTTAGGTTCTAAGGCCCCACACGCCATCTGGGCCATGCCCGTGGGGTCGTGCGGGCACCTGTGGCTGCTGGGGTGGGAGCAGTATGCAGCAGGCAGTGGTCTGACCAGCTGGGCATACCCGAGGCGCATGCGGGAGTAACCAGGGCAGTGGCGGGGGTCGCCCAGGACCCCTGTGAGAGCTCACCTCTCTCTACGAAGGGCCCAGATGTCAGAACCTACCCCTACCTCTACGCCCTCCCAGAAATACCAGGAATTACATGCTCTCCCTGGGCAGCAGCCCCGACCAGAGAAAGCTGCCAGAGAGGCCCCCTTGAAAGGCTCCCCGGGGCCTCCCCGCTAGCCAGCACGGGGCCTGCGGTGTGGCTGCCCGTTAGGGCACGTCCCCTGGGTCATAGCCGGACCTCCAAGGGCCTCACCAGGGCCTGGATTGGAGCCAAGGGGCCAGGGCCTTGACCTCACCAGGTGGACCAAGCAAGAAGTCGCCGCATCTCTGACGGCGTCCCCAGCGGCGCAATGGGGTGAGGCCTCCAGGCTCTTTCGGAGCGCAGTGGGGAAGGCTCAGCGGTGCCCCCATCCCTGGGAAGGCACCTACGGGGCCCCCCGGCGCTGACCCCGCGCAGCCAGCAGAGGGCGCGCGCCCGAGCCCCGGAACCCGCGCCGCGAAGGCCCCTCCCAGAGCTCTCTCCGCGAGCACGCAGCGACCCTGTGCACTCTGCCAGGAACCTGCACTGCGAGCGCGGCTGCGCCGCCTGGACCCCGGGGTCCCGCAGCACAGAGTTCAGAGACCGGCCTGGAGGACCGGTCATGGCTCCATTCTGCAGGAAGGGAAACTGAGGCTTGGGGGAGGAATGCAGCATTCAAGTCTGTGGCTCAACTCAGAGAAAGCTGCCAGAGAGGCCCCCTTGAAGGACTCTCCGGGGCCTTGAAAGATGTCAGCGAGACTCCCGCCCTGCATGTCGCCGCGACCCTCCCAGGAAATGCGTGGGGAGTCCACGGTCCAGCAGGGACCTCGGGAGGGCGCGCCCACGGGGTGGGGCTCGCGGGGGCCAGGCGCTCACCACTGGGGCGCGCGGGGTCTAGGGAAGGGAGTGGGCGCCGCATCCGTGACCGCCGCAGGACGTGGGGAAAGCTGGCGGGGAAGCAGCCAGCTCCAAGAGGTGGCGGTGGAGGGGAGGGAGAGGGGCGCCCAACCGGGCCGTTAGGCCCTACTGCGCGGGGGGGAAGCGGAGGCCCTTCTGAACCCCACTACCGCGGAGAGGTCAAAGGAGCCAGCGCTACTCTTGCGCAGCTTTGAGAAATCTCTAAGATAAAGGAGAGGGGTGTGCAGACCGTAGGGCGTCCCTCCCTGCCCTCAGGAGCAAGACCCTCCACCTCCCCAAGGGTGCCCTCAACTCGCAGGTGTCCAGAGGGGAAGTCATGCGGGAAGCGGCGGCCTGGGCCTGGGACGCATCAGCCCCTTTGGCCTGCCTCGTTGAGCCCTTGGGGGCCACACTGGGAATTCCCTGCCTTAGTCTGTTTCCCTGTCCATGAGGTGGGCGATGGTCCTGCTGTCCCAGAATTCCGGACACCAGGCACAGCCGAACTCCACTCAGCAAGACCTCAGATGTGGGGATCTGTGTCCCTGGGCCCTGAGGGGACACAACAGTGGCCACTCAGCAGACTGAGCCTAGAGGCAGTGGCTGGGTGCTGAGACTGAGGAGGTAACTGGCTCAGGGTGAGCTCCGGGGACACCCACCAAGGCAGTCGTGACTCCACCTGGCCATCAGAGGGCACAGCGCCCACTCCCCCAGGACGACCGGCCCGTGAGTCGTGACTGTCCACCTGGCCATCAGAGGGCACAGTGCCCACTCCCCCAGGACGAAGGGCCTGTGCACAGCCACCACCCCAGTACCTCTGGACACACTCCCATACCCTGTATCTGTCCCTTCTTCACTAGCATCCACCAAGGGCCTCCTGGGCCCAGCACCTGGACACTGTGCAGACACCTCCGGGGGTGGGGGCGGCTGGGGCAGAAATTCTGCAGCTGTTGGCCTTGGGGGAAGGACGCGGGCTGAAGCAGTCGCTGCCCTCTAACTTCTCCGAGGTGGTGGGCCCACTGGAGCAGAGTGGGCTCTAGTGGCCCCGCAGGACAAGGCACTGGTTCGCTTCCAATCCCAGCCGCCCATTCCCTGACCCAGGCCAGTCCTGCTGGCAGGAATCAGCACCACCACAGCCAACAAGGGCCCTCGTCCACCCTGTGGTCCGCCCATCCTCCAAAAACAAGACCAAGAGAGGGCCCTGCTGGCTCAAACCTTCCTCTGAGCCAGCCTACGACAGCCCAGGATGTTCAGCCTCCGCATGGAGAGAGAAGTCCCAGAGGCCTGTGGGTGCTGCCCATTCAACCACCTTGAAGCTCTCCCGTTGCTTGTGCACGCCCGTGCAAATGCACACACACACACGAATGCATACAGGCACGCACATGCACATGCACACTGGATACACTCACCCCTAGTCCAGTCACTGAGCCCCACTCCCCATCCAGGCCAATGTGCCTTCCATGACCCGGGGACAGCTGCTGAGCCAGGGACCACAATGGCATCGTCACATAGTGCCCCCCCTAAGTCCCCAGGCACCCCGTCCTGTGGCCCCCCCGCCCTGCACCAGGGCTCAGGCAGCTGCTGATGACCACTGGCTGGACGGCATCCCCACAGCCTCGTCTGCAGCCCCACTGGGAAGCCTGTCTTGTAACACTCAGCTCAGACACCCATGGCAACCCCACGAGCCACCTCCCCCAAGGACCCCCAAGAAAGAACAGAGGCTTCTGGCCAACCGCCCTGGCTGCAGACCCCAGACTTGCCGCGCAAGTTTGCTTCCCCTCTCCAGCCCTACTGCCCCATCACTAAATACTGGGTTCATAGCTGTTTCCAACTGCCCACTCCTTCCCTGGCCCTCAGAGCCTTCTGGACCCTCCCAGGAAGGTGGTCAGAGCATGGACGTGGCCACACCCCACCTCATTCACCTTTATGTCCAGGAGGGTCCCACTCCCCCTCTACCGCTTTTGAAGGGCCCACAGAACAGCCCCTATGCTCTGCCTCCCATCCACCACCCACCAAAATCCATTGACCTCTGCCCCCAATGGCTGCCCGCACCCTGCCAGAGGCTCTGGGAGGCTGGAGGCCCAGACCCAGTCTGGCGCATGACCTCCAGGGTAATCCCTGAAGGAGGGAGACCAGCAACCTGGAGCTGGCATCTGGAGATGGGGCTGCAAGCCTCAAGAGCTGGGAACCAGGGGGGCCACAGCAGGAAGGGCTCCCCAGGGGGCTTTGAGCAGCACCTTCTTGGCCTCAGTCCTATGCCCCATGGGATGAGGACAAGGGCTGCCCTGCCAGCCTGATCCCTAAGTCAATGGGAGCCCAAGAAGCCTGGATGCCCCCCATGCCAGCAAACCCATCCTGGGAATGGGCCCCACCTCAGCCCGTCTGGATGGTGGTGGTGGTGGGAGCTCAGAAACAAGGACCTCCCCAGCACGCTTGCAATGAAAACCCTTTAATGTTGGGCTTTCTTTAAATAAAACAGAAAGATTGCAGCTTTCCAGTGGTGGCTATAAGTCAAGAGCAGCAGTGGGGGCAGGCGTGTCCTATCAGGGGCAGCGCTGTAGCTCCTGGCTCTGGCTCAAGGTGGGCTTCCTGGAGGCAGCGGCAAAGAGGCAGTTCTGGATGTGCAGGCACAGATGCAGGGGCACAGGCAGGTGGGCACAGGGCCCTGAGCTGACAAGAATGACCCCCGTACCCCGCTAGACGGGGCACCCCCTCTCTGGGAGCTGAGGGCATCAGCTGGAGCCTCAGGCTGGGACCAGCCCCAACTTTGCCTCGGTGACTCTGGGCATTCCAGTCCTCAGTTTCCCCAGCTGTAAGGTGAGGTATTAGGCAGGAGGGGGTGGCCCCAGCCAGTGTCCTAGTAGCCTGGTGTCTCCATTAGGGAAGCCTGAGAAGCTGCCAGGAGAGGCTCTGCTAGTGCAAGGCAGGGCTGGCCCAGCAGCTGACAAGGAACATGCTAAATACAGAGGGCACAGTTGTTAAGAAGATGCCTGCTGGCCGGGCCAGCGAGTGGTACAGAGGCCTGTGGTACTACAGGCCCAGAGAGGGCAGGGATCAGCCCCAGTCACAGAGCATGGCCCTGGTGGGCACTCAGGGGTGGGAGTGGGCAAGGGCACCCCTGCAGAGTCCCACGCCTGCTCTGTTCCTTCCGACAAGGGAACCCACAGCAGGAAGCCTGATGCCTCTCCAGGAGCCCCTGTGCCACCCAGTCACCTAGTCTGGCCCCTCTCAGCCACAAGGCTACCCTCCCATCCAGCCTGACTGGAGGAGGAGGAGGCGGCAAGGCCGACTGCAGCGGGGAGCCGGGTGCCCTGTCCTCTGTCGGCAAATGCCTCCCTTCCATCTGCCTCCAGCCCCAGCCTCTGACCACCCAGGCTCTGCCCCAGGCCTCCATCCACCTCAGCAGAAGCCAGAGGAGGCTGCCTGGCAGATGCTGCTCTGACCCTTCAGGAGCGCCCACTGCACCTGAATCAGGCCCAGGCCCTGGAGAGGCCAGGCTTGTACCCAGGATGCTCTGGCCTGGCCCTGCCTCAGCCCTTGCAGTGGTCAGAGCCAGGATCTAGACTCAGGAGGCACCTGTGGGTCCCTCTGCTCCAGGCAGTGTCCTCCCCTACCTAGGCCCACACGAGTGGCCTCATTGTAGGGCGAGACAGGACTCCCCTTTGCTCATCCATCCTCACCTTGACGGCAGAGCTGGGTGAGGATGCCGATGCCACCCCCTCCCTCTGCCTAGCGTGGAGCCCAGCACAGAGGGCTATCAATAACTGGGGGGCCCAGTGGGTGAAGGGGGGTGGACCAGCTGCTCAGGAGGCCACTCCAGCTGGAAGAGAGTGCAGCCCAGCCTACCCATCTTCAGGCAGCCCCCAGGCCCAGGATGGTGGCCGGAGCAGGCAAGGTGTGAAGGTGGTGGTCACTGGTCCTTGGTGACATCACTGAGCCCACTCTCCATGCGGAGCAGCTGGCTGCTGGCCTCGTTGTAGGAGATCCAGTGCTGCAGGTCAGCGGGCAGCTCAGGGGGCTCCACCTGCAGTGGACAGAAAGGGGACACCCACCAAGCTGCGGCCTTCTCACCTCTGGGCCACTGCCCACACTGCTCCCCAGTCCATGACCTTCCAGGAGCCCCCACCCCGCGGCCTGCCATGCTTTGCCCATGCCTCCCCAGGCCCTGCATACATGTGCGACCCCTGCATACCCACCTTGACATGGTCCCGCTTGTGCCAGGCCCATCTCCCCTAGGGGCCATCCCCAGAACCCAGACAGAAGCCCATGAAGTTGGCAGGTTGGGAAAGGCAGACGAGAAATCCAGGGGCCTCAGGGTGACAGGGGATGGCAGGCCTCTGAGCCGAAGCCAAGCCATCGCATCCCCTGTGACTTGTACATATAAGCCCAGATGGCCTGAAGAAACTGAAGAATCACAAAAGAAGTGCAAATGCCCTGCCCCGCCTTAACTGATGACATTCCACCACAAAAGAAGTGAAAATGGCCAGTCCTTGCCTTAAGTGATGACATTATCTTGTGAAATTCCTTTTCCTGGCTCATCCTGGCTCAAAAAGCTCCCCCACTGAGCACCTTGTGACCCCCACTCCTAGAACAACCCCCCTTTGACTATAATTTTCCTTTAGCTACCCAAATCCTATAAAACGGCCCCACCCTTATCTCCCTTCGCTGACTCAGCCCGCCTGCACCCAGGTGATTAAAAAGCTTTATTGCTCACACAAAGCCTGTTTGGTGGTCTCTTCACACATGACAGAGGGCCAGGATGGGAGCCCTCCTCTGGGAAGGCACCACACAGGGCTCACTGAGTCCTCTTCTTTCTCCAGGGCACCCAGAGGACGGCACTTCATCCCCCAGGGCAGCCTGGGCCTGACCACTCTACTATCAACCCTCTCCATACACACAGCCACCATGTGGCAATGGCAGCCAGGCTCCAGGCCACTCCTGAGGGGTCCACAGCCTTGCAGATGGGCATTGGGAGCGCCCAGAATGAGGGGACAGGCCAGGCACAGGCCCACCCCCACTTCAGGGAAGAGCAGCACACACATGTGCTCAGAGCTAGAGCCCAGACCTTCCCTGCAGATGGGCCAGGACCCCCATGGCAAGTCCCAGCAGAGCTGGGCCTGGACTCTTCCCCGGGCGACTCCCCTCCCTCCCTAACTAGTTTCAACCATGTGACCGACGCTCGCTCCAGCCCAGCTCTGCCCCTTTGGCCACATCACCGCAGGCCAGCCTCCCAACCTGCGAGACCCCGCCCTGGCTCAGCCTGCCCAAACTGTACCCGCAGGCGTTCCACGTCACCCACAGGGTCTCTGCTGTTCTGGGTCCCAGCCTTCACCTCCCACAGGGACCTCACCAACCAGCCCCTGCCTGATTTTATCACGCCCTCTTTCCCAGAAAAGCAAGCCGGGTTCCCCATCTCCTCGGCCTCTGAACCCGGCTCTCAGCCTTGGTGGCCTTCCCCTCTGGACTCCAGATGCATGAAAGACATACAGAGCCCAGCACCTGGGGGCAAAGAGAGATCTAGGCCCTTTAGGGGGTTCCCAACTGTAAACCAAAAATAACATCCAAAGGTACCCCCAACCATCTGAATGAACTTCTTCCAATAGGCCAGGGCCCTCCACATTTAACCTGAAAGACCAGCTGAGGCCGTAGAGAGGGTGTGAGACAGGCCTCATTATGCCCTCCAGCATTAACAACACACACCTTAAGTCTGACAAGAAACTTTCACAATCTAATCCCTCTGAAGCCTGCAGCCTGGAGGCTTCATCTGCATAATAAAATCTAGGTCTCCACAACCCTTATCTTAATCCAGACATGCCTTTCTACTGATAATAGCTGTTCAACCAACTGCCAATCAGAAAACTTTTAAATCTACCTATGACCTGGAAGCCCCCCTTCCAGATGGCATCAATGTGAACCCTTCATATAGTGATTGATGTACTGTGCCTCCTGGAAATGTATAAAAGCAAGCTGTACCCCAACCCCCTTGGGCATGTGTCCACCTGTCGTCAGGACAGGTGTGTCCCTATCCTTGGCAAAATAAACTTTCTAAATTGACTGAGACCTATCTTGGATACTTTTTGGTTCACATGACTGAACAGAAACAGAAGACCAGGGAGCTGTGCCCTGTGGCCTGCTGTGCAGCTTTGTGCAGCGCCATCGCTCCTCTGAGCCTCAGTTTCCCCACCCCTGACATGACCTCTCAGTGTCAGAGGCATTGGAACCAGTGACTCCATTTTGAGTGAGGGTTGGGAAATGAGGCGGGGGCTGCTGGGCTGCATCCTCAGAAAGTGAGCTATTCCGAGCCTCTAGATGTTCACAGTTGTAAAAAGTAAAGTAGAGGTTCCTCTTCAAGGACTTTCCTCCTGATGTAATTAGGAACAAATAGTAACTTCTCTTAAAAGCAAAACTTATTCAAAGACCTGTGCTAACATTCTTAAGTATCTGCTAGCCGTGATAAAGAAATCAATGTACTTTATGTTCTTAGCTCCCACAATTTAGCCTAAATATTTGCCCTGGCATGCTTATACCGGTCCAAGAAAGCATTAGGTCATAGCCTGTTCCTCTTCCTTATTTGAAGGTGTTTTTACCTTTCTCAGCATTCCACAAATTACTTCCTTCCTTTGTTCTCCTCTGCCTTTGCCTCTTTTACAAAGTTCTAAGTTGCTAGCTAATCAGGACAAATACAGAATGTGAGGTCCCGTTCCAGCCAATGGAAACCCGGACACAGCAGTAGGGTGGATGCGTCAGGTTATAAATGACCCTGTTTCCTTTGTTCAGTGTACTCTCGTGGCAAAGCTGCTGGCGACTGTACCCTTTCTGCAGGAAGTAAAAATGGCCTTGCTGAGTAAATTAATGTTCAAGTGCTATTTCTGTACGGCACCGGGGAACAAGCATTTCAAACGATTTGGCAGCAATCCGTACGGGACACGGGATGATGACGAGAGAGCGAGAGAGAGAGAGAGAGAGAGAGAGAGAGAAATTAAAATGTAGAGGGAAAGAATAAGTAAGAGAGAAACTGGAAGAGACAGAAATCAAAGGAAGACACAGAGGGTGAAACTAGGAAAAATAAACAGTGTAAAAGGAAGGCATAAAGTTAAGACATGCTGAAGATTGTGAAAGTCTTAATAAAAGGGAATTTATGCAAGAAATAGTGTATATTTTAAAAGTAATTAGGCCTCCTGAATGTAAAATTATTATTATTATTATTATTATTATTATTTTTTTTTTTGAGACAGAGTCTGGCTCTGTCGCCCGGGCTGGAGTGCAGTGGCCGGATCTCAGCTCACTGCAAGCTCCGCCCCCCGGGTTTACGCCATTCTCCTGCCTCAGCCTCCCGAGTAGCTGGGACTACAGGCGCCCGCCGCCTCGCCCGGCTAGTTTTTTGTATTTTTTAGTAGAGACGGGGTTTCACCGTGTTCGCCAGGATGGTCTCGATCTCCTGACCTCGTGATCCGCCCGTCTCGGCCTCCCAAAGTGCTGGGATTACAGGCTTGAGCCACGGCGCCCGGCCAAAATTATTTTTTAAAAAAAGTTTATATACAAGGTATGTAAGAAAAATAAAATATACTTTCAATAACAGGACTATAAAGAGGTATAAGAATATGGATTTCTACCTACATTAAAAGGTTAAAAATATATTTTGTTTTAAAGGTTTAAGCAAGTTTTAAAGTGTTAACTGTAAAGGAAATTCCGTATGTAAACATATTGGCTAAAGTTAAAGGGGTATCACGCAGTTTTTCTGTGAACTGGTCATTAAAAGCACAATAGATTTTTCTTAAAGCACTAACCCGCTCTTTAACAAAAATTATAAAAGCTTAAAAAGAGTCTATAGAAATCTTACCTTATAGTCAGACATTAAAATTGAATAAATAATGTCTACAAGATTTTATTAAGTTTAACATTAATAGCACATTAATATAAAGGTAAGATTTAACTTATCTGGTATAAAATCACACAAAAAGCACTGTCAAATATAAAATGGTGTTTAGCTTTCTTAAGGCCCAAAAGCGGCCGGATAAGTCACAAGGCCCCTCATGTCCAAGGCCACAGTGCACAGGGGCAGTGAAGGCCCCAAGAAGGCCAAGACCTTAAGAGGAAGCAGGGCCACAGCATCCCCTGGGCTGCGCTGAGCAGGAATGGAGCGGGGCCTCAAGCCCCGGATATGCAGCAAAAGTTACATACTTAATTTATCTTCCACTTTCCCTTCCCTCGGAACTCAAAGTCTTTTAGCACAGCTACCGCCCCTAGAATTTCCAGTACCAGCACCAGCCTGAAAACCACGTCCTCATCAAAAGACAGAAAGAAAACACTTGAGCCAGCCTGGGAAAAACGCTATTTTATGCTGTTAACCACTGAGACAGGCGTCCGCAGAGCCAAGAAAAAATGGTCCCACCATTTTTCTTGAATCTTTCTCTCAGAATCATGGGTTACTGTACTAGGATCAGGCCCTACTAAGTTAAAGAAAGCTTAATTTTCACATACCTTCTATATTGCTTCCTTTCCTTATTCTGTTACTAGTTCCTTTGTTATTACTGTAACTAACTCACCTCAGACCACTGCCTTTAATGCTTGCTCTGTCATACCTTGCGGAAATGTAAAAGATCAACAGCAGCTAGCCTTTTCACAGACACTTATGTCCCAGCCCTCTGACAGTTACCCTAGCACTCATTGTTGCAATGACCTGCAGCCAAGATGCCGATTTTCTGCTCCTACCACCTGGCAACCTTATAGTAAATGGGACTACACCCTTCACACTACTCAGGAACAAAGCTGGACTTCCATAAGAAAGGTCTGTGCAGTTCTAAAATCCCTCATGTATTTCACTGAAAGGACTACCCCTTCTAACTGTCAGCCTTATCAATATAACCCCGTCCTCCTCTCTATCACCACCTCCACCTTAACTCACTCTAGGCCTGCCCTTAGTCACTTCTGTGGTATGGGGACTGACATAATGGAAAAGATCCCCTAGGTATTTTTAAATACGCATTATTGCCTCATCTCTCCCTTCTTTAGTAACCTCAGTTCTAGATCTCACACTAGTTGCTTCTACATCTAATAATAAAACTAGGGTGTCTATTGTAAAAATAAGAGATCTAAGACAGATCTTAGCCATCAAAACAGAGTATCAAGATGCAAATGCCTGGCTGAAATGCATTAAATATTCCGTTCACACTTTAAATAAAAGCGATTGTCATGCATCGGGTTATATAAATGACCCTGTCTCCTTTGTTCAGTGTACTCTCATGGCAAAGCTGCTGGCCAGTGTACCCTTTCTGCAGGAAGTAAAAATGGCCTTGCTGAGTAAATTAAATTTATGTTCAAGTGCTATTTCTTTACGGCACCGGGGAATAAGCATTTCAAACACAGTTAAGGGAACAAATTAATAATGTTTACTAAACAGACCCAGACTTGGAAGTGTCCAGATACCCCCAATATCTGGAGAACAAAGGCATTCCTAATTTTGTAACCCCGTCTCTACTATACAAAAAAGTAGCCGAGCGAGGTGGCAGGCGCCTGTAGTCCCAGCTAGTGGGGAGGCTGAGGCAGGAGAATGGCATGAACCCAGGAGGTGGAGCTTGCAGTGAGCCGAGATCGCGCCACTGGACTCCAGCCTGGGCGACAGAGCGAGACTCCATCTCAAAAAAAAAAAAAAATTGTAATTAAGAAAATTAACCCTTTATCACAAACCCTTGTAGCTGAACACATCTCCCCATATACAAGCATCGCACCTAGGGTGGACGCGGTCCTCCTGTTACAGGAACGTCCTACTCAGTCTTTGGAGCAGCTATTCTTTCACCACTTTACTTTCTTAATAAACTTGCTTTCACTCTGCACTGCAGACTCGCCCTGAATTTCTTCTTACACAAGATCCAAGAACCCTGTCTTGAGGTCCGGATCTGAATCGCTTTCCCGTCACATTAGGACTGACGTGAGACATTGACCCTCCTCTGGTCGGGAGGCACCTGTCCGAGACCGGAGACGGCAGTGCCCTAAAGGCACACCAGGGGTGGGTAAGCCCTGGCTTCCTGCATGGACGCTCCAGGCAACTTTTCAGGCATCTGCTCTGGCCATATCGGCCACCAGTCCCCAGGCCCCAGTTGTCACGCTGCTGGGGAGGTTCCGCGCTGCTGGGGAGGTTCCGCCCTGCTGGAAGGAGCGAGTCCTGGGGAGACGCATGGCCCTCCTCTCTCCAACTGCAGAAAGGCCAAAAGGCTTCCAGCTCCTCGGCTCGGTACTTCAACCCCAAACCCAGGTGACCAGGACCCAGGCCTTCAGCTCTAAGCTGTGCGAAAGGGGGGTTCAGGTCCTTGGGAACTCCTAGGAACCTCTTCTAACTGATCACCCCTACAGCCTATATTCAGGACCAAGAACCAGAGAGAGAGGTCAGCACTCTAGCCACAGAATAGAACCCCAGGCGAGAGGGGAGGAGTGAACATGAAACCGTGAGGCGCCAGGTTAAGAAATGGCAGGAGGGAAGCACGCTAAGCCAAACTATGGAGTTGATTCGGGGACCCTAGGAACCCCCATGAACAAAGGCATCAGTGAGGAATGCCCGGTAGACAGGGACGGGCCGGAGCGGCAAGAGGCAGGACTCCAGCAGTACCCGAAAGAGGTGCAGGCAGTTGGCCTTCCCTAGAGGTGGCCGGGGACTAGGAGAAGCCCCTGGAGGTTCCGCAAAGGCCGTGCTCCGGGGCCAGGGGCGGGGGCCGCTCACCCTGCGCTGGCACAGGTGCTGCACGACACGCTCGGGTGAAGTGCCCAGCAGGTGCTGCCGGAAGCGCAGCAGCGCGCACACGAAGCCGTCCCGCAGGCTGACAAAGCGCGCCTCCAGGTAGAACGCGCGGTCGTCCCAGCCCAGCAGGCGGGTGCGCACCTCGAAGGGCTCCAGCAGGCGCAGCGAGCGGCGGTGGCGCGCACACGAGGCCGCCAGCACTGAGTGCGCCCGCAACTCCCTCAGCGCCCCAAGCACCCCGCAGCGGGTCAGGTGCGCGGTGCGCGCAAAGTCGGCCTCGCGCAGGTAGCGCGCGTTGTTCATGTGCAGCAGCAGGTCCAAGTCCGAGGGCAGCACGCGGCCCGGGAAGCACTGCTCGGCTAGCAGGTCACGGACGCGCGGCTGCAGCAGGCGCGCACGCAACACGGCGCACGGGAAGCGCACCAGGTACCAGCCGTCCAGCAGCGCAAAGACGGCGAGCCCCAGGGCCAGCAACGCCACCAGCAGCCCCAGCATCGCGGCGGCAGGCGCGGGGTGCTGCGAAGCCGGTGGCGCTGGTGCCGGTGTCCGCGGCGCTGGCGACGGTGCCCGCCAGGCCTCTTGGGAACTCACGAGCGCAGCGCGGCCGGAGCGAACCACAGCGCGAGGCCGGCCGGGGGGGAGGTGCCCGGAGCCCCGCCCACGGTTGCGTGATCCCCTCACCGCCCTAGGTGGTCAGTCCCGCCGCCCAGGCCTGCGCCACTTTCGTGTTCCCCGGGGCGGGGCGGGCGGCGCGCTGAGCGCCACAGCGGCACCTGGCGGCCATGAGCGTCGCTGCAGGCGCGAGGGTGTCCGCGCGCCCCCGCGTCTCCGCCTCCCCAGCAGCGCGGGCCCCTCGCCAGGCTCTGAAGACGCGGTCTGGCCCTGGCCATTCGGCCCTTCGTCTGAGCACAGTCAAAGGCTCTAGCAGCTCCGCAGCCGAAGCCGCGGGACTTTTCGTGGAAAATGGGACCCAGCCCGGACGCCAGGGGCGCTGCAGCGGACTCTGCGGTAACCTAGCTTCTGCCAGGACCTCCACCCCGCAGCGCGTGCTCAGCGGCTCAGGGCGAATCACGCTCTGGTCCCCATGCGCATTTTCAGCCCCAGCCAGTACCTCGTTACTCGCCCTCACGACTTTCATTCTACCCCCTAAAGGTCCTGGCAATCCCAGGCCCCTCCCGAGCATTCCCGCCCCTCCTCCCTTTTGAAACCAGAGCAAATCAGGGCTGGGCGGAAGAGGGGGAGCCCGGGTGAGAGTCATGACTCAGCTGCGGACTTCAAGTGTCGCCGGAGGCCCTGGGGCGCAGGCCCAGCGGGCTGTGGCACAACTCGGCTGTCCTGTGCCCCTTCCCTGCGAGGCTGGGGAGGAAAGGCGGCCCAGAGAAGGCCGGACCAGCTCCCCCCGCCAGCCCCAGGCTCTCAAATGACAGCGGATGCCGGCGACCCGGGATGGGGTCCCAGAATTGCTGGGTTAAACAAGCTCAGGATTCAGGCCTGGGCCTGGGCTCGGGTTCTAGGGTTCTGGACCTCCCTTAAAGGAGGGGCTCCCTGGGGCGGCGTCTGGCTCTGCTTGATAGCCCGAGGGACAGGGAGCTCACTACCTCTCAGGGCAGCTCCGCCAGTGCCGAGACCAGCTCAGTCTGGGAGACCCTAACCCAGCGCGCTAGAGGAATTAAAGACACACACACAGAAATATAGAGGTGTGGAGTGGGAAATCAGGGGTCCCACAGCCTTCAGAGCTGAGAGCCTGCAACAGAGATTTACCCACGTATTTATTCACAGCAAGCCAGTGATAAGCATTGTTTCTATAGATTATAGATTAAAAGTATCCTTTATGGGAAACAAAGGATGGGCCAAAATAAAGGGTTGAGCTTGACTAGTTATCTGTAGCAGAAGCATGTCCTTAAGGCACAGATCGCTCATGCTGTTTTTTGTGGTTTAAGAACGCCTTTAAGCGGTTTTCTGCCCTGGGTGGGCCAGGTGTTCCTTGCCCTCATTCTGGTAAACCCACAACCTTCCAGCGTGGGCGTCATGGCCATCCCTAACATGTCACAGTGCTGCAGAGATTTTGTTTATGGCCAGTGTTGAGGCCAGTTTATGGCCAGATTTTGGGGGCCTATTCCCAACACCCCAGCGTTGCTCACACTTGTCCCTGAAGTGTCACGTTATTGTGGCTGGCCTCTGAGCCCTCTGCCCCGGGGAGGGGTGGCCGCTTGAGCTGAAAGGACTGAGGACATAGGCGTTGAGCCTGTTGGCCATTGCTCAAAGAATGCAGCCTCCTGGTCACCCAGGAGGTGACCCTGCCAACAAAAAGAGTGAAACACTGTGCAATGTTTGAAGAGATTTATACTGAGCCAAATCTAAGGGACTGTGGCCTGTGACATGGTCTCAGAAGATCCTGAGAACTTGTACCCAAAGTGGTCAGGTTACAACTGGGTTTTACAAATTTTAGGGAGACATAAGACATCAATCAGTACTTGCAGGATGGACATTGGTTTGGTCCAGAAAGGTGGGGACAACTGGAAGTGACAGAGGGACTTCTAGGTCATAGGCAGATTCAAAGATTTTCTGATTGGTCGAAAGAGTTAAGTTGGCCAGGCATGGTGGCCCATTTCTGTAATCCTTGCCATGGGGAGGCCGAGGACCATTTGAGCCCAGGAGTTAGAGACCAGCTTGGGCAACATAGAGAGACCTCACCTCTACAAAAAAATAAATAAATAAAAAATAAAAAGAGTTATAAAGACTTAGCATTAATAGAAAGGAATGTCTAGTTAAGATAAGGGGTGTGGAGACCAATGTTTCGTCTTCAGATGAAGCCTTTAGGTAGCAGGCTTCAGAGAGAATAGATTGTAAACGTTTCTCATCAGACTGAAAGAGTCTGTTCTCTCAGTCTTAAGGGCTGTGTTGATGTTACTGCTGGTCAGCTGGGCCTGAATTCCAAAGGGAGGAGGGTACAGTGAGGCATATCTAATACCCATTTCCCATCGTGGTCTGAACTAGTGTTTTAGGTTAACTCTGGAATGCCCTTGGTCGAGAGGAGGGGTCCATTCAGTGATAGGCGGGCTTAGAATTTCATTTTTGGTTTACACTGCTATGTCCTATCCTACCAGGGGAAGGACCCACAGCTGGAGGCTTAGCCCTGGAGATACCAGTGAAGATTGTTGAATGAGAAGCCAGTTGGAGCTTCCAAGGTCTCTACCCACCCTCCAGGCCTCCTCTGCCTCCCTGTTCCCAGTTTCTGCTCTCACAGCTCCCTCCCACCCACATGCTGTTCCTCCCTCTCCCATCTTCCCCTTCCTGGGCCCAGAGACTGGGAGAGGATTCCCAGGGCTCTCCCCTTGCACAGGGAACTTCTCCCAGGGTGCACCGGCCTTGCTACAATCTTACACAGGGAACACATAAGCAAGAAATACTTTTGTCCCTCCTTGGACCCCTGAAAGCCAGGAGGCCAGGGCTGGGTTGGCCTCCTAACTGCTGTGTCCAGGGCCACAGCGTGCCAGAAACCCAGCAGTCCTAGCACCCCACGAAAACTGGAGGGACCCACCACCTGTCCCATCGGCTTGGTTGCATCCAGTCTAATGCAATGGATTTGGGCAGCTTGGGGTGGGTCCACTGGCAGTTTGCTGGGGGACTTGCAGGAGTCAAGGTCAGGTGAGGGTTTCTGGTTGCTGGACCCTGGCCCTTCCTTGGCCTGGCTTGGCGTGTCCAAGCCCACAGAGCCGTGCCAGGGGGAAGGAGCTAGGCAAGCAGGGTGGTGGTGCTCCTGGCTCCTGGGCCTCCTCAAGGATAATCTCTGGATGCAGTAGTGCTGGACGTCACCTCCAGAGATAGGCCCTGCAGCGTAAGTTCTGGGGGCCATCGCCTGGGTCCAGACTCCAGGCGTGCCCTAGACCCAGCTCCAGTCAGGAGAGCCTAACCCAGCAGCGCCTAGAGGAATTAAGGACAATACACACAGAAATATAGAGGTGGTGAAATGGGAAATCAGGGGTCTCACCAGCCTTCCAGAGCTGAGAGCTCCAAACAGAGGTTTACCCACGTATTTAACTTAACAGCAAGCCAGTTATTAGCCATTGTTTCTATACGATGTTGAGATTCAACTAAAATACCCCTTATGGGAAAACAAAGGGATGGCCAAAAATACAAGGGATGGATCTGGCTAGTTACCTCTGCAGCGGAGCATGTCCTTAAAGGCACAGATCACTCAGCTATTGTTTGTGGTTTAAAGGATGCCTTTAGCCGGGCGCGGCTGGCTCACCGCCTGTAATCCCAGCACTTTGGACGGCCGAGGCGGGTCGGCGGATCACAAGGTCAGAGATCACAAGACCAACGTGAACCCGTCTTACTGAAGAATACAAAAAATTTAGCCGACGCGGTTGTGGGGCTGTAGTCCCGCTACTCGGGGCTGACGCCAGGAAATGGTGAACACGGAGGCCGCAGCTTGCAGTGACCGGAGATCGCGCCGCTGCATCTAGCCTGCGGCGACAGAGCGAGACTAAAAAAACACAAACCGTCAAAAAAAAAGATGCTTTAGACAGGCAGCCGATGCTAGCCTGTAATACCAGCACTTTAGGAGAGAACGAGACGGGCGGATCACGAGGTCGGGACGGACAATCATTGGCACTACACGTGAACCATCATCTACCTAAAACAAACACAACACAGACGCGCCTGTGTGCCCAGCTACTCAGGGCTGAGGCAGGAGAATGGCGGGAACCACGGGGAGGCGGAGCTTGCGTGAGCCGAACCGGCGCCATGTTGCACTCCAGCCCTGGGCGCACGAGCGAGAAACTCCGTCTCAAGAAAAGAAAAAAGAAACAAAAGAATCGCCTTTACAGAGGCTTTTGTCTGCGCCTGGGTGGGCCGGGTGGTGCTCTTGCCGCTGCATTCCTGGTAAACCACAACCTTCCAGTGTGGGCATTTGGCATCCATGCAATATGTCACAAGTGCTGAGAGCAGAGTTTCTTTGCATATTATGGCCCAGTTTGTTGGCCAGATTTGGGGGGGCTGTTCCCAACATGTCCATTCCTTGATTTGGCAAACAATAAAAGCAAGGGCACCTTGTCACAGTGAGCTATCTTCTTGCAGGAGATCAGGATCCGCATCTGCAGAGCTGTACAAGAACAGACACAGATTAAAGCACAATCGTCATTGAAATCCAGAGCTTCCCAGTGTTTTTTAATCCATGTTTAATGGGTTGCTAGCCTGTCTAATCTGTCTGCAGCTCCTTCAAGCACTCCAGTTCCTGGCATTAAGGTCAGGTGTGCCTGGGATGCTTTAAATATTTGTTCTTTTAATTTTACAATATCCAAAAACAAATTTGTAGAGTGTCCTTCTAGATACTTTTTTATTCTTTCCCAAATTTTGATCTGATTAAGCCACAAATCCGTATGTTTAGCTCCTACAATGGGCCATATCATTTGAGGTTGAGGTGCTACTATACCACCATGGTTCAAGATAATAGGAACTCTTGTCGTACTTCTTATCATTTCTACCATCTGACATTTTGTTCACATCAGCTGAACATAGTGTGGCCGTGGCACGCAGACTGAGAGTTGCAATTCAAGCTAAACATCCCCTAGGGGACCAATTAATAATGATTCCATAGGAATCATTGTGCAGCACCTCTGCCTGTTCTACAAAGCAATCTTCCTAAACAAGTAAGTTC